GTAATGTCTGGATGTCTTGTCTTGAGTGTTACAAAAACCTCACCTGATGTAACCCGCATCACTTACGTCAACATTGATAAAAATCTGTCTCCTTCGATTAGTACTGCTCAAATCCTTCTCTTTCTCGCACATTTAAAAAAAGTCACTTATGCAGAAAAGTCCTGTCAAGTCCTTTTCACGCATCACGTGATTTAAACCAGAGCATTTATACAGACATCGATTTCAAAGTTACAGAGAATTGCTAGTATTTTTTTGGAATTATTACTGGTTGCATTGATGTTTCGGCGTGTTCTTGAGTTTCCTGCTACATGCAATAATACAAGGCATTTTCCCAATCCACTTATATATAAGTGGAGGAGAAAATACCTGGATGAAGGAATTGTGATTTGTAGAGTATCTGAAATGTTGCCCTGTTGTTCAAACACATAATGACTAATTAAAAAAAGACATAAATCCAAGTTGACGTTCCTCCCACACGACAGCTGTAGTCGGCACAACAAGAGATAAAATGACAGTTAAATTTACAATGTGGGAAACAAGTTCAGTGTGCGTGTTTCCCAAGGACACAACCACAGTTTAGAGCCGGGTTTAGTAACTGGCTTCTCTCAGGACAGTCATATGAAGCTTGTGTGATTATTGATTATCTATTAATATTGGTTATTACAGTTTTTTCAGTCGCTTTGGAGAGGTTTGCATTACTCACATCACTCTTCACATTTGCACAACAGTTTGTGCATTTCTCAGACAATTAGTACAGAATGCAAAACCTTGTTGATAACCTGCAAAAGTGTGTTTCAAAATGAAAAGTTGATTCCTCAAAAGCAATTTCTTCATGTCAATGAAACAATCTGTGTCTCAAAATAATAAATCCTGACACCAGTTTTGATGAACATCACAGTCAAATGACTTGGTCATGTTTTTATCATGACACTTTACTCTCTCTGTGTGTTTTCAATCCAAAAAAGTCAGATCTTGGTGAAACAACATGAAAATGCTCAAGACAGTACTATACACTGTACAGCCGAAAACTACAGTAAAGTTTCACATTACAGTATTTAGTGAGATAACTGAGTACAAGGTATGTATGTACATCTATATCACAGCGGATGTCTTCCCTGGAAAGACAACTGGTTTTGAACTAGTTCAACAATTATTCATGCAATGAGTCAAGCAATGAAATGAGGACAATAGGAAATGACTCTTCAGTTTCATAAGTATGTTTCATTTTGACTGACACGACAGAAGCAAATGATAATGTTATAAAACAGCAGAGAATTGTACATATGGAAGTAACTGATACATGTCCAAAAGCATTTGTAGTCTGTTCAAAGGAATGAGAAACAACATTGATGATGTGCACAAATGACTCAATGTTGTGGAGGTTGAACTCATATTTGTGAGAACTTTCATTCTTTTGTGCCCTGTTTAGTCTGATTTGAGATAAGTCACTCTGAAGAAGAACCGCTGTGCTCCTGAACTGTGTCGACTCTATGCGTTAAATGCAAGATGGTTTTATGGGGAAAGTTCCACCCAGTTGCTTTAAACCTGTGTGTTTTGCTCTGCTCCTCTGCTCCAGATGCAGCAGCAGATAGTCAGAGGAATGTCTCTATAAATCAGGCTGACAGAATAATTAAGCGGAGTGAGTGTGTGTGCGGGGCCCCGGGGCCTAGCCCTATCTCGTGATCTTCTCTAACCCTGGCACAGGCGCACAGCAGGAAATTGGACATTAGATGAACACAGCCGTCTGCATGAGCGATGGACTTCACTTTTCACCTGCAGCCATCATCGTGGGCCTGCGTGTATACGCCTGGTTTATATTTGAAGTGGAAGAAGAGGAGGAAGTGCACTCAAAAAAGAACTGTTCATTTAAAAAGGGTTTGTATAATGTAACATGTTTTGGAGCTTTTGTATCATGTTTTAATGATGTATAATACGTCCATATGGCACATTTTTAGACACTCAGAGACACTTCACACAGTATTATTCATTTGCTATTGTTGCTCCAGCTGCCCTGGGGTAGACTGACTGTGAGGCTACTACTCTGTGCTACCAGCTGGTTCAACCTCCACCAATTACACACCCACACACCACACTCATACTTGACAATGCAGGGTGCCTAAGGACACAACAACCATTTGGCACTTGAGAGCTACCATCACAGTACTAACCAGGCCCTTCCCTGCTTAGCTTCTGAGATCTGATGGGATCAGGCTTTCACACACTGGTGGCAATAGCATTATTAATATGTTCAAACATTATCCTCTCAGCCAAAACATGTATCTGAAGTGTTTTACAATTTTCTTTCAATCTACTTTCACCCACCCCTGCCCTGCCCAGGGCTTCTCCCTGCCAGTGCCGGTCCAATCCTCTAGAGGGCCCACTGCAGGGTCCTTCTTGCCTCTATACTGATATTTGACTGAAAGTTTTGTGTATCTATTTTTCAAATCAAGAAATATGAAGCGATAATGTCATCAAACATCAAATAGAAATTCTGAGGGGGAAACAATGTAGCACTAATACCACAGAGTAAGTTTTGTCTAAATGTAAATGTTTTATCCTTCTTTTTTATGTCTGACACCTGCATAATGCATTTATAACCAACCAAAGGTAACATGGAGATCCACAGATTGTGTGTTGAGATGTGAACGGTCACACAAGACGTAAATACTAAGGGGACAATGAATGTAGTTTGTTTATTTGAGGGACAGCGTGTAGTTAGCATCATGCTAGTCTCCATCCGTAGTCCCCGCCACGACGCCCCCTTCCTGCACCAAGAGGACAATGACGATGAAAATGTCTACACTATACATACTTTTTACAATATCATGTATTTCCGATTGAAGAGTTCCTTTGCAAAAATAATAAAAACGTTGTGATCATTTAGCCACAATCTTCAATATTTGTTGCTATTGGCAGAACATTTTAGAGATTGTGCTCAAGAAGGGGTGACACGTTACATGTATGGCACAAAAAATACATCTGGCTTTTCAAAACTCTCAATGTTTGACACTTATCTGTTTTTTAGAATGAACTATTTGCTTGTCTGTGAAAGCTTCTCCTTCAGATTACGTAACTTACAGTATGTCGTCTCTGTAGTGTCATAGTCTTTTATCTCTGTGCAGTCTCCCTGGTCCCTGGTCCGTGTCAGGGCCCCTGTGCTGGAGCCCCCCTGGTCCTGTGTGTCTGCCGTCCTGCTCACATCTGGACATGTGCTCATTCATTCACTCACACCTGGCTTTAGTTAGCGGACGTCGACTGTGCAAGTGTGTGTGTGTGTGTGTGTGTCTGTGTGTGTGCGTGTGTGTCTGTACGTGTGTGTGTGTGTATTGTGCTGCAGGGTCATGACGTTTTCAACACGAGTTATATTCAAGTTGACAGACTGTGCTTGTGTCTGCTGTAATCTATGACAAACAGATCATTATCATGTGATTTGAAAATATTACATCTCTGTATTGATCTTAAACTACTTAATAAAATCAGATTAACAGAAGGGGGCAATCCAAGGGCAGAAAGAGTGGTTAGGAATAGATCTGTACTGGGGGCTTGAAGATTACTATAAACAAGTATGAATCAGTCAAAAAGTAAATTGTGCAGGAAATGAAAAGATAATCTATTAGAACATGGTTGAAAGTAGTGTGTGGTTGTGAATGTTTTTGTTCAATGGGTCTCAGTGAAAAGAAGTCACTCCTGGAAGTACCAAGGTCTAGATTTGTTCATAAAATCAAATGAACGGATGATACACAGATTTGTAAAAGGGCTCTATAAATAAAAATTGATTGGGGAACATGGATGAAAGAGGGATGACAGATTACACACAAACATTTTTTTTTATTTTAGCAAAAGGCCAGATCTTAAAGCTGGGGGAGAAAACATTACATTTGTTCATGAATAATACATTTCAAAAAAAGAGTTTTACAAAAGTAACATTTTGTGAACATATCAAACCACAACATGCATAGTTCATCCCTTCAGAAAATATTAATTTTTTTTTAATACAAATTACTTTTTCTAGAATAGCCCATGGTAGGGTATTGTATGTTACTGTAGCATCGCACAGTATCAAATGTGTATTGATATTGTGTGTTGATTAATTGTATTGTGTGTATTATTGTGTTGAATTGTGAAGGAGGACTGGGAACAAATAAGCATCTGCTTCATTCAACCCCTTTTCAAACTTGTATATTTCAGGTTTGAAATAAATCAAACTAACTAACTAACTCTTTGCGCAACTGTTTGGGGCTTTGGGCGGAGAGCTGGAAGGCTGAGGGATGGTGGGCCTCTCTTTTTCATAAATACATGCTTGTTAGGACTAGTTTGACTAACTGTTAACTAAACTGTTTTGAGAACGAGGAATGAGGGGGGGGAAAAACGGTTGGATTTAAAAGTTAGGTACCCCAGCTTTAGAATCAAGATATTAAAATGAAAAATAATGCATTCCCTACACTACAAAAAGTGATGAAAAATAAATCAAAAATTGCTCAAATTTACCTGGATGTATCTTTTTTCAAGCACATTCAAAAACAGTATTTGCTAATGGGACGAGCAAAATTATCTTGTCTTAAAGAGAAAATAAAGCAACAGTTCTTGAAATAAGACAGATGGCACAATCTGAATGTACTGTACAAATTAAGATAAAAAAGCACACTTAAAAAAACACTTTTAGGGGTTTTTGCAGTGTAATTTCAGACCTGTTAAGACGCCAACACTTTAGAATATTCCCATGCATTGAAACAGGTGTGACATGGATATAAACAATACAACAGAATTCTGAATGAACCCATTAAAAAATCGAATATATTACATTTACATCCATTTTCAACTTAGTTCTCGGTCTCAACAACAGCACAACGTGACATGATCATAAACCAAAGAACGGTGACAAAGCTACAGGGGCAATGCACAATGTCGTGGAGGAAATATATGAATCTCGCTAACAGCTCAGGAAGGGTTAAGAATGTGTGACAAAAAAGTCCTCTTCATAAATATGAGAATGTGGAGGCTCAGATCTTAAGTGTCTGCGCGTGCTTCTTACACAGAGGTTTGTCCTTTTTAGAGAAAAACTTCTGTCCCTCCAGAGTCGTGCAGCAAACCTGGAACAAAACATGACAGAAAATGTGAAAAAAGTCTAAAATAGTGCCGTCCAAATGTTTGGCGTCCCGTATTATTTGGCGTTGTCCCCATTTTAAAAAATGTCAGCAAATCTAGCGTGAAAACTTCTGTACACACTTTTGTATTGGAAGAAAAACAGTCTATTCAGAGGAGTATTGCAAAAGTATAAAGTATAAGTGTATTCCGGAGAATTCTCTGCTGCTAAAGTACAATTTACACGTCTGACTACAGTGTATACTCCACTTGTAACTTATTTTTGAAACAAGTGCAATTATAGTTTTATTTTATTATATCATTATTTCATTTTAATAACTCTTATGTACATTTTCTTTATCTAAAAACGTATAATGAATATATCAGCTTTGATTTCCATCCATTTGTTATATTTGTCAGACTGTACAAAGTCTGAGTCTGTACGTGCCATTCACCTGCTCTGATACAATATAAACCTTGGTAAATACCTCCTGATGCTGCTGGATACAGTGTATACTCCACTAGTGACGTATCTCTTGAGTATGGGAGAAGTATGGTAACCTGAGCACTATCCTCTCCTCCTTCCTACTTTATCTGTCTGCACTGTTAGGATTTTGACTGTAGTCTGTTCATTGCTATTCACCCGCTGTCTGTTTCATGGTTTAGATTTATTCCCTGTTTTATTTTGTAGTTTGTTAAATCCCTGTGTCTGCTTTGGTTGCTCTTCCTGTGTGATTACCTGCCCTGCCCTCATCTGTCTCACCTGTCTCTCGTTAGTCTTGTATTTAGCCCTGTGTGTTCCTTCATTATCATTCCTAGTCTGTTTTAGTTCTGTCCTTGTTCCCTGTGGTTTTGGATTTGTCTTATCTTTTTATCAAACCATTATTTTGTGCAGTTTTGCATTTTGGGCCTCATTTGTCTTTCACCCACGTGACACCTCCTCCATCTGCAGACTGCCCTGCCCGACCCGCCTGGGAGCGCTTCAGTCTTGCACCGGACCTGTCCATGTTCTGCGGCCGCTGCCTGGCCCTGGATCCACGTTCTGTAGCTTAGCATTCTACAACATGTATGAACATTTTTCAACATGTGTTCTATATTCTTTGTTGTGTCTGAACTTGTTGATTCTCTGATCTGTGTTGGTGATTTCAATGGTTTTGTTAAGTCCTCTGAGATGACTTCTGTTGTGATTTAGGGCTATACAAGAATACATTGTTTTGTATTGTATTGATCCAAGTGTAATTATAGGTTTCTTTATTATCTGACTATTATATTTTACTATCTATCCATCCATCCATTCCTCCCTTTATTCTGCTGTTGTGTGCGCAACAATGACATAAAATATTTCCCCCTCATGGGACGAAGAAAAGTTCTATCCAATCTTAAAAACAGAGCACTCCAGGCGTCCTGAGTGACTTAAGTCAACTTTTCGCAAAGATGCTGTCAGTCGGTGAACACATTAGGACGGCTGCATGTGAAGAGTTGGACACACAACTCATTCTTTATGGGGCCCTGCAGTTGGTGACTCCCTGTAGAGTTGCCCATGAGAGAACTGGGATCAGCATTGTCAATCTTGATCCGACTCAAATTGAATTATCTGTGCTGCTGTTTGTTGATGGCTTTAGCAGGTCATTTCTCTGATTCTCTGATCTTAAGTGTAACTTCAGACTGGTAGACTACCCACACACGTCATTGCACCAGGCTGGCCCCTTCCTTCCTCAGCCTTTCACATCAGCTTTGTCAACTCCCTGCCAGCCGTGCCAATCAAGCCGCACACCACACACCAAACCTTGCCTTGTTGCCACCACTAGTGTTTAGGCGCCAAACTAATAAACTACAAACAAACTTGCAATCAATCAATCTTTGAACACATCTTGTCTCTTGTAGTCTCTCCAGATTGAAAAGACTTAGAGTTAGAGTGGATGAACTAGGCTCAAGACAAGACTGCGTCAAAACCAAACAGACACATCCTGCAGACATACAGTACTTTCCACCGGATTCATGTGGATGGAGTGTTATTGGTGTCCTAACCTTAAGACTGGCACACACAGACACACACACACACACATAGGGCAGGTGTCAAACCCACCGCACAGACGAAGCAGGTGTCGTGCCAGGTGAAGCCCAGAGCCTCCAGGAACCGGTCCCCCGCCTCGATGGGAAACTCGCAGCCGTGACAGCCCGTTCCGAACAGACTGTAGAAGTCTGGAATGAGACAAATATACAATTAACAACAGCCCCATGTCCCAAAACACATTGTAGCATTCCTGTCTTGTTAGTAAATGGTGACACCTCAGACCTGGTTCAGACCTGGTTCAGTTCTGGTTCAGACCTGGTTCCGACCTGGTTCCGACCTGGTTCCGACCTGGTTCAGACCTGGTTCAGACTTGGTTCAGACGTTATGCAGTCCAATGCAGCTGCCACATCTCCAGATGGATAATGTGTCATAATCATGTGTTCTTTAGCAGGTCATTTCTCTGATTCCCAGCTCTATGTGGAAACTTGAGAGACTTAAACAAAGCTAAGACTCTTTTTAATCCTGTCAGACATACTCTGCAAGGCGACCACTATTTATTTGGACATAGCGCTGACTCAACCTATATCAAACATTCATAATGGGCCTGAAAATGTGTCAAAAATGTGATAAAATCTCATATCCAAATTAATGGTGTTTTTCACTGCGGCGCGTTTCTGTTAACGCCGGTGAAACTTTGACTGTTGACACTCTTTACTAAGAGGATAGCGCTTGAGAGGACTGAAAAGTCAAATATACAATCCAACACAGCAGCCTATACCAAACAGACTCTAGAAGTCTGAAAAATCAAATATACAAATGAGACTCAGACCTGTCTCGCAGTACGGCTCCCCGTCCTCCATGTGGAAGCTTTTGTTTCTGATTGGCTGCTGACAGAAGGCACACAGGAAGCAGTAGACATGCCACGTCTGCTTCAGGGCGTTCATCACCTCCTGAGACACACACAAACACACATTTAGGGGAAAGAATTTATGTTCATTGCTGTTCAACCACTGTCCAACAAACTTGTCTGTTTCATGGCGTGATGATGGGACCCCTGAACCCGGCCTCCTCCATCGGCACCTGCGGACTGTCCTCCCCGCCCCAACTCGTGGGCTGCACCCCCTCCCCTCCTGGAAGCTGTCTTAGTCCTGCATCGCATCTGTCCTTGTTCCGCAGCCTGAATCCTGCGTCCTGTGACCAGAGTCCTGGATCTATTGCTTGTCCATCAATGGGAGCGGATGGCCTCCCTAAGGTTTTTAATCTTTTCCCACTGGGTTTTGGAGTTTTTCTTTGCCGATGCAGGAGGGTCTGTGTCTGTGTCAATGGCTATATGTCTTTTCTATCATTGCATTTCTTGTGTTTGAACAGTTTGATTCTCTGATCTGTGTTGGCGGATTCAATGGTTGTGTAAAGTCCTCTGAGATATCTTCCATTATGATTTATGGTTGTATGAAAATACCTTGAATTGAATGTTATTCTATTGGTCTGTATTAAAAATCAGAAAAATAGCAGTAGCAGTCTGACCACGGTCGCTATCTACTGGTGTCAGTGAGAATTACAATCTGCAATGCAAGCCATTTTTTGAAGCATTATAATAGGATGCATTAATGGACAAAAGGGCACAGTTGTAAAGAAACACATTCTCCAATCAAAAATAACAAAAATGAATTGGTTTTATACAGCACTTATATAGTTTGGCAAACATAACATGCTTGTGTGCTGTTTGTCTCTATTTTTATTTTTATGTGTCTGTAGTAAAGACTGAAAAAAAAGTATCTATCAAATATGGAGAGGGATGAAGAAAATGTCTGGTCTCTGATGGAACAGTGCTGTATGACAAGGTCAAAAAAGTAGATTTTTCAGCATATGTTTCCTTTAAACCCATCTCTGGCAGTCACCTCCAGCCGGACCTCTCTGAGAGTGCTTATTTTCTTCAGAATGGCCTCAGAATGTTTGATCCGCTCACGTGCTCTGACCCTCCAGACCTGGTCTTCCATTTCTCACACATTTTCAAGCGGCTTACAGGCCGTTTTCTCGCCCCTTCGTGATGAGCGGGCCCACCCTTGATCCCAGCGCGCACCAAAGCCCTGCGTGTAAGCCGAGTCATGGGACCACTGGCAGAATTAAGTCATGTAACAGACGAGAAGCATTCCTCCACAATGGTCAAACTTGATTCTTGCTTTATTGTGCAATACCTTTCATTAGTCCAGTCCAGACTCAACACTGCAAAACAGAGAGCCAGGCTGACTCTTTTTCTACGTTGATTCACGGTTACGTATAATTGTACTGGTTTTAGAGACATTTCAAACTGGTTGCAACCCCTTTTTTATTGTGCGCTACAAAAATTCAATTCTAAAAGTTTGATGTTTATCATGTAAATGTCTCTAATGTGGTATGACAATATTGTTTTACACACAATCATATGGTCATAAAGGCCAAATTCTCGAACACCTTCAAGCATCTCCCCAAAGTACTTAGAAAGAACTTATTATGATCATTTTAATGCGCATTCCTAAATGTCTTGAAATGGCTTATTGTGAAAACAATCTTAATGTCTTAAAACAAGATCTGATAATTGCTTGTCTTTCCTTAAACATTGTTGGCTGTTCCATTGATAAATCTTTTTTATTTTAATTTTTAATTTTATCTGGGAAAGGGTTGGAGACGATCTACAAAATTAATCTGAAGTTAAGCACCTTTAGGCTTGACTTGTAACTATATTATGTTGGCAGTCTTGTTAGTATAGACTCTATACATTGATGGACAAAGGTCAAAGTTTTGCTCCAACTCGCTCTGGCTTCTGACCTACATTGAGTACATTTCTGGCTCATTAACTATTTGTGTCACACTTAAATATTTGTGGGTTAATGCTCCATCATTGTTTTGATATTGACTTTTGTTGTGAATCCAGAGATGAGCCATAAGGATTTACCAAATGCCTTCATTCCTGGGGTAAACTCCAGCTTACCTTAGCAACATGACTGCAACACATCTGCCGCTGTTACTGATAGAAGCTAACCCCGTCAGAACAAATGCCCATATAAGGAAATAAGCCCCAGCTCGCTTGTGTTCAAATTGGCTTCTTCCTCATTCGGAAAACACTGGATCAGGATTGCTTAGTCCAGTGTTTTTCAACAGCTGTGCCTCGGCACACTAGTGTGCCGTATCACTTTGTCTGGTGTGCCGCGAGAAATTAATCTACTTTGTCTAAAAATAGATGCATCCGCAAATGATGTGCCAGCGAGTGCTGTCTTGTTGTGACTGGTAACCATGTAATACTTTTTCATATCAGTAGGTGGCAGCAGATAGCTTATTACTTTGAGACATTAGAAGTAGTGCATGGATGAGACCACAGGATGTGACAGGTAGCGGGGACAGAGGCATTGTGGCTAGCGAGACGTGACAGTGATGGAGAAGTTTTTGAAAAGAAAAGGTGCCATATCCGAACTGGACCCTGGACAAAATCTGGACCCAGGTGAAGGCCCAAGTATGAGTGGCGGTAAAAAGAAAGACAATTGCGCAAGGCTATACAACGAAAACTATCTTTCATTTGGATTTACTTTCACCGGGGATGCACTGAAACCGAGTCCGTTGTGTTTGGTGTGTGGTGAAAAGCTATCCAACAGTGCTATGGTCCCAAGCAAGCTTAAACGCCATCTGCAAACGAAACATTCGTCGCTTCAGAACAAGAATGTGCACTATTTTGCTCGGCTGCGAGAACAAACAGAGAAACAGGCAACTTTCATGAAAAAAAAAACAAAAGTTAACGAGAAGGCACTTAAAGCTAGTTACCACGTTGCTGAACTTGTAGCTAAGTCAAAAAAGTCGCACACTTAGGCAGAGACATTAATACTTCCCGCTTGCAAAGCCATTGTTAATGAGATGCTCGGACCAGAGGCAGCTAAAGAAATAGCTAAAGTCCCTCTCTCAGATAACACCATTTCCAGACGTATTAATGACATGTCTGCAGACATTGAAACTATTGTTTTGGAAAAAATCCGCATCAGTAAGACATTTGCACTGCAGCTTGATGAATCCACTGATATTAGCGGGCATGCTCAACTTCTGGCCAATGCACGTTTTGTGGATGGAGACGTAATCATAGAAAACTTCCTCTTTTGCAAATCACTGCCAGAAAAAACAACAGGAGAGGAAATATTTCGGGTCACGTCAGAATATCTTGAGCAAGGAGGACTTAAGTGGGAAAACTGCATAAGTGTCTGCACTGATGGCGCTGCAGCCATGCTCGGGCGCACCAAAGGCTTCGTAAGCAGAGTGAAGGAGAGAAATCCAGCTGTTATTGTTACGCACTGTTTTTTACATCGTGAGGCCCTCGTAGCCAAGACTTTACCAGCAGATCTTGTGCCTGTGTTGGATGATGCCGTGCGCATTGTAAACTTTGTGAAGTCACGACCCATGAAATCCCGCATATTTGCATCTTTGTGTGAGGCAATGGGAGCAGAGCATAAAGCATTGCTGTTTCATACGGAGGTGCGCTGGTTGTCGCGCGGCAAGGTCTTGGCCCGTGTGTATGAGCTGCGGGAGGAGCTTAAAGTGTTTCTGATTAACGAGAGGTCCGACTCCGCAAAACTGCTTGCAAGTGATGAGTGGTGCGCACGGCTGGCATACCTGGCAGACATTTTTCATCATTTGAATGAACTTAACACACGAATGCAAGGCCGAAACGAAAACCTTCTCACAAGTACAGATAAAATAAATGGATTTCGTTCAAAGTTACATCTCTGGCAGGAACATGTGGAAAATGGGAATCTTGAAATGTTCACACTCACCAAACAATGGCAAGATGTAAACACAAATGCATTGTGTGATGTAATAGTTAATCATTTAAAAAGTCTTGAGGAGAGGATGTCATTATATTTTTCTTCAGCCTCCACTGAAAACCTTGACTGGGTTAGGGACCCATACAGCTCAGCATCAGTTGGGGGAATGGACATGACTTTACAGGAGCAGGAGGAACTAACTGAACTGAGACAAACCCGTGGTTTAAAGCTAAAATTTGCAGATCTACCTTTGGACAGTTTTTGGTTGGCTACTGCCAAAGAGTTCCCCATTCTGGCAAACAAAGCTATTTTGACATTGCTCCCATTTTCAACCACTTATCTGTGTGAGGTGAGCTTTTCAAGCCTGACTGCTATAAAGACTAAAGACTGAGAGCTGTTGAGGAAGACCTTCGTGTGTGTCTTTCTTCTATTCCTGCCAGGATATCAGTTCTGTGTTCATCCAAACAGGCACAGGTTTCACACTGAGTGAGTAGAATTATAATAATGATCAAAATAATGTTTTCTTTGTGTTCATGTCTATTAAAAACACTTTGATTAGAACTACTGTAAATTGTGGAGTATATATTTTTTAATTTTCTCCTAGTGGTGTGCCTCGAGATTTTTTCAATGAAAACAGTGTGCCTTGGCTCTAAAAAGGTTGAAAAACACTGGCTTAGTCCACTTCTGATATACTACTACTACTACTACTACTACTACTACTTCCACCTCTATCTACCTACTTCTATGGTAGGTAGTTAGAAGTACATGGACGTTTAGAAACAGGTTCACTCATATGCATTAAATACACCAAATACACACATCGTTGATTCATAATAAAAGTGTATATGTTGCTGCAAAGGACTTGAAAAGGGGAAGTCTTTGCGTTTCGCTCATGGCAAATATTGATATGACATTAATCCTCTTACCCCCATGATCTTGGTTCTGCAGCGGCTGCACGTGGGGGCAAAGAATTCCTCGTAGCAGTGTTCACAGTAAACACAGCCCTGCTCCTCCACAAAGCCCAGGTCAGCCAGAGACGAGCTGCAGTGGGCACAGGTGAACTCCTCTTTGTGCCACGACCGCCCCATGGCCACCAGGAACGGACCCCTGCAACATCCAGCACCAGACACAAGGACATCAGGCTTTTTTTATGTGAAGTAGTGAGAATCCATGTCATATAATAAAGTCCAATGTCAACCCGCATGTCGACCTGTATATCTGAATGTCTGTCTACTGTACGTCTTGTTGATGTAAGTTTGTGTATATTGGAAATGTAGACATATCTTTCTGCTATAAAATGGTCATATAATCCGGGGCATTCCCACTGAGCAAAAACACACATGTTTTCAGTCCAAAATCACTGAACGGCTCTTCCTTCCACATTCTGGATAAAGTGTTGGATTTTAATGTAGTAAGTTAAGCAACCTCTTCAGAATCAGAAATAATAATAATATTGTGCACATAACTCTGCCATGTTGGATTAGATGGAAAAAATAAATTAAAGGTAATATTCTTGTAGGACTTAATTGTCTTTGTAAATTAAATCCAACATGACTGTTATTTGGAAAAGGTTGCTTAGCATTACTTAATTTTATCAATAAAATCAAACACGTTATTTCTTAGAGTGCACACTGAGAAAGGGGCTGGCATGACATAACAGCATATCCAAATCCAACGCTCAATTAAACTAAAACCAAACTGCTTTCATGTGGGTCAAGTGATGAAGGTTATGAAACTACACTGCAAAAATTTTGACTGCTTTTGACTGCTTTAAAACAAGATTTGCCAACGGGACAAACCAAATGATCTTGTTTCAAAAAGATACAAGAAATGTCTCCCTTGGAATGAGAAAAGAAAGCAACAGTTCTTGAAATAAGACTAAATGGCTTTGTCCCATTGGAAAATATTGTTTTAAAACTGTCAGAATGTACTGTACAAAAAACACTTGATTTAGTACTATGTGTAAAAAATATGTTTGTGAATCCAGATGGAACTAAACACTTGCCATAGCAGTTTGATTCGTGGGAGTTCTGGGTGCACTGCAATGTGACTTTAGGAGACAGATTTTAAAAGCCTATTAGACTCTTTAATTCTGTCTTCCCCATGGTAAAAAGCCAACATGGGTTCAAACAACACGCCTGCCATTCCCACTGTTGACCCAAATTGACACGGTACTTCAATCCAGGTCAAAAAAACCTGTGTCTGCAACCTAGATCATCTTCATTACAGACTTGAATGTTGAAAATATTAACTTTTGGCTGTGTGCAGCACTTTGGAAACTTGTTTTAATGAAAGTGCTGTAAAATTAAGCCTTGGATTGGGGTTGGATTTGCATGAACAATTGAAACATAACAAATAAACTATAATAATTTACTTCTTGCTTATTGTAATCTGAGTGATTAGGTAACTAACCATGAAAATAAATTTGTAATGATCTAAAAATGAAAAAAGAGACTGCAGTATTTGATGTACTTTGATGTGTTTTGTACATGTTGAATATACTTTTGCTAAAATAGCTTGTTTGGTCAGGTCCGGACAGATCAGCAGAGACTGTAGTGCAGACTGTCACACTGAGCTGCTGCACTTACACGGATCACAGTGGAGCACATGTCACATGACGGACACTTACACACTTTACAACTTTGTTAAGTGGAACCATTTCACTTAGAGATGTATGTACAGATAGTGACTCACACACACACACACACGCACACACACACACACACACACACACACACACACAGACACACAGACAATCAATGGGATTTCCAGTGTATCATTTGTAAGAGAGACCCGGCCAAAAAGTTCTAGACCTAAACACATATTCAAAAGACACGATAGAGCTATGATCGACTAAGCAAATGCCTCATCGATTTCTTTGTCGGCTAAAAAGGGAGCGTGGAAAGTGCTCTAAAAAAAGACTAATTTATCTGACCCAAACTGTAATTCAAAAACTTCAAACTCATACTAAACTTAATGAAAAACAAGGATTGCGGCCGAAGTCACTGACATATTAAAGATGATGTCTTCAACTTCAATTGTAATTCGTAAAAAAAAAATAGATGTTCTTGATACATGACCCTTTAGTATCCTCCTTTTTTTTTTCATGATAAATATATTCAAAACAGCGCCTCCACTTGGCATAACCACCACCATGACATTTTTTTCTCGAGGAGAATAGTTTTGACCAATGAGGAGAGGCATCAAAGTTTTTCATTTGTTGTGTCCAATCAGGAGCCTGTGGGGGCGGGTCTTAGTAGGGTTTTGCGTTCAATGAGGGTCTCTCCATCTTCACACTTTGAAAAGTAACTTAACTTTAAGCGATTAACAGACAGTATTGATTAAACATGTGAATTACGAGTTTAATACAAAAACCTTCATCAACAGTTCTTGAAATGAGACTACGGTTCAAGTGGGTGACGTGTGTCTGACCTGATGACCATGCTGCAGTGGGCACACATTGGGGTCCTGGTGCCTCCTGGGTAGTGCTCTGCCATCTGCACCAGCGTGTCCTGGTCCTTTGGGTGTGGCTGGGGGAGGGCTCTGAAGGGGACGGGGCCTTTGGGTGCTCCGCTGTCCTTCAACCGGAAAGAGGGAGTCACCAAACCCGACTGCGCTCCGATACCTGGCGGCACGTTCAAGTACAGGATACAGGCGTCAGGACTGGGACAAACACGCCCGTAACCATGGAGACTAAAAGTAGCCTTGAAACTAGTTATTACAATTGCAAAAACAGATTTCATTATTTTGAAAATTTCTTAAAAAGCTGGATTCCCTGTGCAAAAAATGTCAACATTTTTTGTTTTTTGCAGAAAATTAGAAAATATTTACTAAAGAAGGGTTGACGCTTTATTTGCATTGCACTAAAATAGATCTGGCTTTTCAAAAAACACTTAAGTGGTAAATTCTAAGCCTTTCAAATGTTTTCATAATGTCACTTATTTGTTTTAGCAAATTTACTAATTGAAATATTCATGATGAAAAACAGTTTTAAAATGTAGTGCTTTAGACGGAATGATGAGCGGTTTATCGGGAATCAAATTATGAAATAGTCCTGGGAACGATCTGGTTATAATCACATGTTTTCTTAAAAGTGTAAAATTATATAAAATAAATATCTGTACACGGGTCAGGCTGCATGTCTGAATGGGGCTGTAAAAAGTTTGAATATATTCTTAATGTAATATCTCAATCTGTCATACAAAGATGATACAAGGACAATATGGACAATAATATATTTCAGCATTTTGTTATGATGACTTAAAATTTGGGTATGTAACTGGAGTATGAAAATAATAATAATAATAATAGCAGTCATATATGCTCAAATTAAGATTAAGATTATATTTCATCACTTTTTGCAGTGTAGAAACAACTCCAGATCTATTTTGGATGAGGGACAAGGATCTTTTTTTGACCAATTATTGTTTTAATGGAGTCTATAATTTGTTGTTTTCACCTTATTTTTGGCCTTTGTCACATTTTTATATCACCTGACTGAAAGTGAAAAAATGAAAAGACCACCCTCACTCAGCCAATCAGCTCTCACCCCAAAGCCTCAAGTAGTGAATCACAGTGTGTATGTGTGTGTGTGTGTGTGTGTGTGTGTGTGTATGTTGTGTGTGTTTTGTGTGTGTGTGTGTGTGTGTGTGTGTGTGTGTGTGTGTGTGTGTGTGTGTGTGTGTGTGTGTGTGTGTGTGTATGTGTGTGTGTATGTGTGTGTGTGTGTGTGTGTGTGTGTTGTGTGTGTGTGTGTGTGTGTGTGTGTGTGTGTGTGTGTGTGTGTGTGTGTGTGTGTGTGTGTGTGTGTGTGTGTGTGTGTGTGTGTGTGTGTGTGTGTGTGTGTGTGTGTATGTGTGTGTGTTTTTGTGTGTGTGTGTGTGTGTGTGTGAAGGAGGACTGGGAACAAATAAGCATCTGCTTCATTCAACCCTTTTCAAACTTGTATATTTCGGTTTTGAAATAAATCAAACTAACTAACTAACTCTTTGCGCAACTGTTTGGGGCTTTGGGCGGAGAGCTGGAAGGCTGAGGGATGGTTGGGCCTCTCTTTTTCATAAATACATGCTTGTTAGGACTAGTTTGACTAACTGTTAACTAAACTGTTTTGAGAACGAGGAATGAGGGGGGGGGAAAAACGGTTGGATTTAAAAGTTAGGTACCCCAGCTTTAGAATCAAGATATTAAAATGAAAAATAATGCATTCCCTACACTACAAAAAGTGATGAAATATAAATCAAAAATTGCTCAAATTTACCTGGATGTATCTTTTTTTCAAGCACATTCAAAAACAGTATTTGCTAATGGGACGAGCAAAATTATCTTTGTCTTAAAGAGAAAATAAAGCAACAGTTCTTGAAATAAGACAGATGGCACAATCTGAATGTACTGTACAAATTAAGATAAAAAAGCACCCTTAAAAAAACACTTTTAGGGGTTTTTGCAGTGTAATTTCAGACCTGTTTAGACGCCAACACTTTAGAATATTCCCATGCATTGAAACAGGTGTGGACATGGATATAAACAATACAACATGAATTCTGAATGAACCCATTAAAAAATCGAATATATTACATTTACATCCATTTTCAACTTAGTTCTCGGTCTCAACAACAGCACAACGTGACATGATCATAAACCAAAGAACGGTGACAAAGCTACAGGGGCAATGCACAATGTCGTGGAGGAAATATATGAATCTCGCTAACAGCTCAGGAAGGGTTAAGAATGTTGTGACAAAAAAGTCCTCTTCATAAATATGAGAATGTGGAGGCTCAGAACTTAAGTGTCTGCGCGTGCTTCTTACACAGAGGTTTGTCCTTTTTAGAGAAAAACTTCTGTCCCTCCAGAGTCGTGCAGCAAACCTGGAACAAAACATGACAGAAAATGTGAAAAAAGTCTAAATAGTGCCGTCCCAAATGTTTGGCGTCCCGTATTATTTGGCGTTGTCCCCATTTAAAAAAATGTCAGCAAAATCTAGCGTGAAAACTTCTGTACACACTTTTGTATTGGATAGAAAAACAGTCTATTCAGAGGAGTATTGCCAAAAGTATAAAGTATAAGTGTATTCCGGAGAATTCTCTGCTGCTAAAGTACAATTTACACGTCTGACTACAGTGTATACTCCACTTGTAACTTATTTTTGAAACAAGTGCAATTATAGTTTTATATTTATTATATCATTATTTCATTTTAATAACTCTTATGAACATTTTCTTTATCTAAAAACGTATAATGAATATATCAGCTTTGATTTCCATCCATTTGTTATATTTGTCAGACTGTACAAAGTCTGAGTCTAGTACGTGCCATTCACCTGCTCTGATACAATATAAACCTTGGTAAATACCTCCTGATGCTGCTGGATACAGTGTATACTCCACTAGTGACGTATCTCTTGAGTATGGGAGAAGTATGGTAACCTGAGCACTATCCTCTCCTCCTTCCTACTTTTATCTGACTGCCCTGTTAGGATTTTGACTGTAGTCTGTTCATTGCTATTCACCCGCTGTCTGTTTCATGGTTTAGATTTATTCCCTGTTTTATTTTGTAGTTTGTTAAATCCCTGTGTCTGCTTTGGTTGCTCTTCCTGTGTGATTACCTGCCCTGCCCTCCATCTGTCTCACCTGTCTCTCGTTAGTCTTGTATTTAGCCCTGTGTGTTCCTTCATTGTCATTCCTAGTCTGTTTTTAGTTCTGTCCTTGTTCCCTGTGGTTTTGGATTTGTCTTATCTTTTTATCAAACCATTATTTTGTTGCAGATTTTTGCATTTTGGGCCTCATTTGTCTTTCACCCACGTGACACCTCCTCCATCTGCAGACTGCCCTGCCCGACCCGCTGGGAGCGCTTCAGTCTTGCACCGGACCTGTCCAATGTTCTGCGGCCGCTGCCTGGCCCTGGATCCACGTTCTGTAGCTTAGCATTCTACAACATGTATGAACATTTTTCAACATGTGTTCTATATTCTTTGTGTGGTCTGAACTTGTTGATTCTCTGATCTGTGTTGGTGATTGTCAATGGTTTTGTTAAGTCCTCTGAGGTGACTTCTGTTGTGATTTAGGGCTATACAAGAATTACATTGTTTTGTATTGGTATTGATCCAAGTGTAATTATAGATTTCTTTATTATCTGACTATTATATTTTACTATCTATCCATCCATCCATTCCTCCCTTTATTCTGCTGTTGTGTGCGCAACAATGACATAAAATATTTCCCCTCATGGGACGAAGAAAAGTTCTATCCAATCTTAAAAACAGAGCACGTCCAGGCGTCCTGAGTGACCTTAAGTCAACTTTTCGCAAAGATGCTGTCAGTCGGTGAACACATTAGGACGGCTGCATGTGAAGAGTTGGACACACAACTCATTCTTTATGGGGCCCTGCAGTTGGTGACTCCCTGTAGAGTTGCCCATGAGAGAACTGGGATCAGCATTGTCAATCTTGATCCGACTCAAATTGAATTATCTGTGCTGCTGTTTTGTTGATGGCTTTTAGCAGGTCATTTCTCTGATTCTCTGATCTTAAGTGTAACTTCAGACTGGTAGACTACCCACACACGTCATTGCACCAGGCTGGCCCCTTCCTTCCTCAGCCTTTCACATCAGCTTTGTCCAACTCCCTGCCAGCCGTGCCAATCAAGCCGCACACCACACACCAAACCTTGCCTTGTTGCCACCACTAGTGTTTAGGCGCCAAACTAATAAACTACAAACAAACTTGCAATCAATCAATCTTTGAACACATCTTGGTCTCTTGTAGTCTCTCCAGATTGAAAAGACTTAGAGTTAGAGTGGATGAACTAGGCTCAAGACAAGACTGCGTCAAAACCAAACAGACACATCCTGCAGACATACAGTACTTTCCACCGGATTCATGTGGATGGAGTGTTAATTGGTGTCCTAACCTTAAGACTGGCACACACAGACACACACACACACACATAGGGCAGGTGTCAAACCCACCGCACAGACGAAGCAGGTGTCGTGCCAGGTGAAGCCCAGAGCCTCCAGGAACCGGTCCCCCGCCTCGATGGGAAACTCGCAGCCGTGACAGCCCGTTCCGAACAGACTGTAGAAGTCTGGAATGAGACAAATATACAATTAACAACAGCCCCATGTCCAAAACACATTGTAGCATTCCTGTCTTGTTAGTAAATGGTGACACCTCAGACCTGGTTCAGACCTGGTTCAGTTCTGGTTCAGACCTGGTTCCGACCTGGTTCCGACCTGGTTCCGACCTGGTACAGACCTGGTTCAGACTTGGTTCAGACGTTATGCAGTCCAATGCAGCTGCCACATCTCCAGATGGATAATGTGTCATAATCATGTGTTCTTTAGCAGGTCATTTCTCTGATTCCCAGCACTATGTGGAAACTTGAGAGACTTAAACAAAGCTAAGACTCTTTTTAATCCTGTCAGACATACTCTGCAAGGCGACCACTATTTATTTTGGACATAGCGCTGACTCCACCTATATCAAACATTCATAATGGGCCTGAAAATGTGTCAAAAATGTGATAAAATTCATATCCAAATTAATGGTGTTTTTCACTGCGGCGCGTTTCTGTTAACGCCGGTGAAACTTTGACTGTTGACACTCTTTACTAAGAGGATAGCGCTTGAGAGGACTGAAAAGTCAAATATACAATCCAACACAGCAGCCTATACCAAACAGGACTCTAGAAGTCTGAAAAATCCAAATATACAAATGAGACTCAGACCTGTCTCGCAGTACGGCTCCCCGTCCTCCATGTGGAAGCTTTTGTTTCTGATTGGCTGCTGACAGAAGGCACACAGGAAGCAGTAGACATGCCACGTCTGCTTCAGGGCGTTCATCACCTCCTGAGACACACACAAACACACATTTAGGGGAAAGAAATTATGTTCATTGCTGTTCAACCACTGTCCAACAAACTTGTCTGTTTTCATGGCGTGATGATGGGACCCCTGAACCCGGCCTCCTCCATCGGTGCACCTGCGGACTGTCCTCCCCGCCCCAACTCGTGGGCTGCACCCCCCTCCCCTCCTGGAAGCTGTCTTAGTCCTGCATCGCATCTGTCCTTGTTCCGCAGCCTGAATCCTGCGTCCTGTGACCAGAGTCCTGGATCTATTGCTTGTCCATCAATGGGAGCGGATGGCCTCCCTAAGGTTTTTAATCTTTTCCCACTGGGTTTTGGAGTTTTTCTTTGCCGATGCAGGAGGGTCTGTGTCTGTGTCAATGGCTATATGTCTTTTCTATCATTGCATATCTTGTGTTTGAACAGTTTGATTCTCTGATCTGTGTTGGCGGATTCAATGGTTGTGTAAAGTCCTCTGAGATATCTTCCATTATGATTATGGTTGTATGAAAAATACCTTGAATTGAATGTTATTCTATTGGTCTGTATTAAAAATCAGAAAAATAGCAGTAGCAGTCTGACCACGGTCGCTATCTACTGGTGTCAGTGAGGAATTACAATCTGCAATGCAAGCCATTTTTTGAAGCATTATAATAGGATGCATTAATGGACAAAAGGGCACCAGTTGTAAAGAAACCACATTCTCCAATCAAAAAATAACAAAAATGAATTGGTTTTATACAGCACTTATATAGTTTGGCAAACATAACATGCTTGTGTGCTGTTTGTCTCTATTTTATTTTTTCTGTGTCTGTAGTAAAGACTGAAAAAAAAGTATCTATCAAATATGGAGAGGGATGAAGAAAATGTCTGGTCTCTGATGGAACAGTGCTGTATGACAAGGTCAAAAAAGTAGATTTTTCAGCATATGTTTCCTTTAAACCCATCTCTGGCAGTCACCTCCAGCCGGACCTCTCTGAGAGTGGCTTATTTTCTTCAGAATGGCCTCAGAATGTTTGATCCGCTCACGTGCTCTGACCCTCCAGACCTGGTCTTCCATTTCTCACACATTTTCAAGCGGCTTACAGGCCGTTTTCTCGCCCCTTCGTGGATGAGCGCGGGCCCACCCTTGATCCCAGCGCGCACCAAAGCCCTGCGTGTAAGCCGAGTCATGGGACCACTGGCAGAATTAAGTCATGTAACAGACGAGAAGCATTCCTCCACAATGGTCAAAACTTGATTCTTGCTTTATTGTGCAATACCTTTCATTAGTCCAGTCCAGACTCAACACTGCAAAACAGAGAGCCAGGCTGACTCTTTTTCTACGTTGATTCACGGTTACGTAATAATTGTAATGGTTTTATAGAGACATTTCAAACTGGGTTGCAACCCCTTTTTTATTGTGCGCTACAAAAATTCAATTCTAAAAGTTTGATGTTTATCATGTAAATGTCTCTAATGTGGTATGACAATATTGTTTTACACACAATCATATGGTCATAAAGGCCAAATTCTCGAACACCTTCAAGCATCTCCCAAAGTACTTAGAAAGAACTTAATTATGATCATTTTAATGCGCATTCCTAAATGTCTTGAAATGGCTTATTGTGAAAACAATCTTAATGTCTTAAAACTAGATCTGATAATTGCTTGTCTTTCCTTAAACATTGTTGGCTGTTCCATTGATAAATCTTTTTTATTTTAATTTTTAATTTTATCTGGGAAAGGGTTGGAGACGATCTACAAAATTAATCTGAAGTTAAGCACCTTTAGGCTTTGACTTGTAACTATAATATGTTGGCAGTCTTGTTAGTATAGACTCTATACATTGATGGACAAAGGACAAAGTTTTGCTCCAACTCGCTCTGGCTTCTGACCTACATTGAGTACATTTCTGGCTCATTAACTATTTGTGCACACTTAAATATTTTGTGGGTTAATGCTCCATCATTGTTTTGATATTGACTTTTGTTGTGAATCCAGAGATGGAGCCATAAGGATTTTACCAAATGCCTTCATTCCTGGGGTAAACTCCAGCTTACCTTAGCAACATGGACTGCAACACATCTGCCGCTGTTACTGATAGAAGCTAACCCCGTCAGAACAAATGCCCATATAAGGAAATAAGCCCCAGCTCGCTTGTGTTCAAATTGGCTTCTTCCTCATTCGGAAAACACTGGATCAGGATTGCTTAGTCCAGTGTTTTTTCAACAGCTGTGCCTCGGCACACTAGTGTGCCGTATCACTTTGTCTGGTGTGCCGCGAGAAATTAATCTACTTTGTCTAAAAATAGATGCATCCGCAAATGATGTGCCAGCGAGTGCTGTCTTGTTGTGACTGGTAACCATGTAATACTTTTTCATATCAGTAGGTGGCAGCAGATAGCTTATTACTTTGAGACATTAGAAGTAGTGCATGGATGAGACCACAGGATGTGACAGGTAGCGTGGGGACAGAGGCATTGTGGCTAGCGAGACGTGACAGTGATGGAGAAAGTTTTTGAAAAGAAAAGGTGCCATATCCGAACCTGGTCGCTTCAGAACAAGAATGTGCACTATTTTGCTCGGCTGCGAGAACAAACAGAGAAACAGGCAACTTTCATGAAAAAAAAAACAAAAGTTAACGAGAAGGCACTTAAAGCTAGTTACCACGTTGCTGAACTTGTAGCTAAGTCAAAAAAGTCGCACACTTAGGCAGAGACATTAATACTTCCCGCTTGCAAAGCCATTGTTAATGAGATGCTCGGACCAGAGGCAGCTAAAGAAATAGCTAAAGTCCCTCTCTCAGATAACACCATTTCCAGACGTATTAATGACATGTCTGCAGACATTGAAACTATTGTTTTGGAAAAAATCCGCATCAGTAAGACATTTGCACTGCAGCTTGATGAATCCACTGATATTAGCGGGCATGCTCAACTTCTGGCCAATGCACGTTTTGTGGATGGAGACGTAATCATAGAAAACTTCCTCTTTTGCAAATCACTGCCAGAAAAAACAACAGGAGAGGAAATATTTCGGGTCACGTCAGAATATCTTGAGCAAGGAGGACTTAAGTGGGAAAACTGCATAAGTGTCTGCACTGATGGCGCTGCAGCCATGCTCGGGCGCACCAAAGGCTTCGTAAGCAGAGTGAAGGAGAGAAATCCAGCTGTTATTGTTACGCACTGTTTTTTACATCGTGAGGCCCTCGTAGCCAAGACTTTACCAGCAGATCTTGTGCCTGTGTTGGATGATGCCGTGCGCATTGTAAACTTTGTGAAGTCACGACCCATGAAATCCCGCATATTTGCATCTTTGTGTGAGGCAATGGGAGCAGAGCATAAAGCATTGCTGTTTCATACGGAGGTGCGCTGGTTGTCGCGCGGCAAGGTCTTGGCCCGTGTGTATGAGCTGCGGGAGGAGCTTAAAGTGTTTCTGATTAACGAGAGGTCCGACTCCGCAAAACTGCTTGCAAGTGATGAGTGGTGCGCACGGCTGGCATACCTGGCAGACATTTTTCATCATTTGAATGAACTTAACACACGAATGCAAGGCCGAAACGAAAACCTTCTCACAAGTACAGATAAAATAAATGGATTTCGTTCAAAGTTACATCTCTGGCAGGAACATGTGGAAAATGGGAATCTTGAAATGTTCACACTCACCAAACAATGGCAAGATGTAAACACAAATGCATTGTGTGATGTAATAGTTAATCATTTAAAAAGTCTTGAGGAGAGGATGTCATTATATTTTTCTTCAGCCTCCACTGAAAACCTTGACTGGGTTAGGGACCCATACAGCTCAGCATCAGTTGGGGGAATGGACATGACTTTACAGGAGCAGGAGGAACTAACTGAACTGAGACAAACCCGTGGTTTAAAGCTAAAATTTGCAGATCTACCTTTGGACAGTTTTTGGTTGGCTACTGCCAAAGAGTTCCCCATTCTGGCAAACAAAGCTATTTTGACATTGCTCCCATTTTCAACCACTTATCTGTGTGAGGTGAGCTTTTCAAGCCTGACTGCTATAAAGACTAAAGACTGAGAGCTGTTGAGGAAGACCTTCGTGTGTGTCTTTCTTCTATTCCTGCCAGGATATCAGTTCTGTGTTCATCCAAACAGGCACAGGTTTCACACTGAGTGAGTAGAATTATAATAATGATCAAAATAATGTTTTCTTTGTGTTCATGTCTATTTAAAAACACTTTGATTAGAACTACTGTAAATTGTGGAGTATATATTTTTTAAATTTTCTCCTAGTGGTGTGCCTCGAGATTTTTTCAATGAAAACAGTGTGCCTTGGCTCTAAAAAGGTTGAAAAACACTGGCTTAGTCCACTTCTGATATACTACTACTACTACTACTACTACTACTACTTCCACCTCTATCTACCTACTTCTATGGTAGGTAGTTAGAAGTACATGGACGTTTAGAAACAGGTTCACTCATATGCATTAAATACACCAAATACACACATCGTTGATTCATAATAAAAGTGTATATGTTGCTGCAAAGGACTTGAAAAGGGGAAGTCTTTGCGTTTCGCTCATGGCAAATATTGATATGACATTAATCCTCTTACCCCCATGATCTTGGTTCTGCAGCGGCTGCACGTGGGGGCAAAGAATTCCTCGTAGCAGTGTTCACAGTAAACACAGCCCTGCTCCTCCACAAAGCCCAGGTCAGCCAGAGACGAGCTGCAGTGGGCACAGGTGAACTCCTCTTTGTGCCACGACCGCCCCATGGCCACCAGGAACGGACCCCTGCAACATCCAGCACCAGACACAAGGACATCAGGCTTTTTTTATGTGAAGTAGTGAGAATCCATGTCATATAATAAAGTCCAATGTCAACCCGCATGTCGACCTGTATATCTGAATGTCTGTCTACTGTACGTCTTGTTGATGTAAGTTTGTGTATATTGGAAATGTAGACATATCTTTCTGCTATAAAATGGTCATATAATCCGGGGCATTCCCACTGAGCAAAAACACACATGTTTTCAGTCCAAAATCACTGAACGGCTCTTCCTTCCACATTCTGGATAAAGTGTTGGATTTTAATGTAGTAAGTTAAGCAACCTCTTCAGAATCAGAAATAATAATAATATTGTGCACATAACTCTGCCATGTTGGATTAGATGGAAAAAATAAATTAAAGGTAATATTCTTGTAGGACTTAATTGTCTTTGTAAATTAAATCCAACATGACTGTTATTTGGAAAAGGTTGCTTAGCATTACTTAATTTTATCAATAAAATCAAACACGTTATTTCTTAGAGTGCACACTGAGAAAGGGGCTGGCATGACATAACAGCATATCCAAATCCAACGCTCAATTAAACTAAAACCAAACTGCTTTCATGTGGGTCAAGTGATGAAGGTTATGAAACTACACTGCAAAAATTTTGACTGCTTTTGACTGCTTTAAAACAAGATTTGCCAACGGGACAAACCAAATGATCTTGTTTCAAAAAGATACAAGAAATGTCTCCCTTGGAATGAGAAAAGAAAGCAACAGTTCTTGAAATAAGACTAAATGGCTTTGTCCCATTGGAAAATATTGTTTTAAAACTGTCAGAATGTACTGTACAAAAAACACTTGATTTAGTACTATGTGTAAAAAATATGTTTGTGAATCCAGATGGAACTAAACACTTGCCATAGCAGTTTGATTCGTGGGAGTTCTGGGTGCACTGCAATGTGACTTTAGGAGACAGATTTTAAAAGCCTATTAGACTCTTTAATTCTGTCTTCCCCATGGTAAAAAGCCAACATGGGTTCAAACAACACGCCTGCCATTCCCACTGTTGACCCAAATTGACACGGTACTTCAATCCAGGTCAAAAAAACCTGTGTCTGCAACCTAGATCATCTTCATTACAGACTTGAATGTTGAAAATATTAACTTTTGGCTGTGTGCAGCACTTTGGAAACTTGTTTTAATGAAAGTGCTGTAAAATTAAGCCTTGGATTGGGGTTGGATTTGCATGAACAATTGAAACATAACAAATAAACTATAATAATTTACTTCTTGCTTATTGTAATCTGAGTGATTAGGTAACTAACCATGAAAATAAATTTGTAATGATCTAAAAATGAAAAAAGAGACTGCAGTATTTGATGTACTTTGATGTGTTTTGTACATGTTGAATATACTTTTGCTAAAATAGCTTGTTTGGTCAGGTCCGGACAGATCAGCAGAGACTGTAGTGCAGACTGTCACACTGAGCTGCTGCACTTACACGGATCACAGTGGAGCACATGTCACATGACGGACACTTACACACTTTACAACTTTGTTAAGTGGAACCATTTCACTTAGAGATGTATGTACAGATAGTGACTCACACACACACACACACGCACACACACACACACACACACACACACAGACAATCAATGGGATTTCCAGTGTATCATTTGTAAGAGAGACCCGGCCAAAAAGTTCTAGACCTAAACACATATTCAAAAGACACGATAGAGCTATGATCGACTAAGCAAATGCCTCATCGATTCCTTTGTCGGCTAAAAAGGGAGCGTGGAAAGTGCTCTAAAAAAAGACTAATTTATCTGACCCAAACTGTAATTCAAAAACTTCAAACTCATACTAAACTTAATGAAAAACAAGGATTGCGGCCGAAGTCACTGACATATTAAAGATGATGTCTTCAACTTCAATTGTAATTCGTAAAAAAAAAAATAGATGTTCTTGATACATGACCCTTTAGTATCCTCCTTTTTTTTTTCATGATAAATATATTCAAAACAGCGCCTCCACTTGGCATAACCACCACCATGACATTTTTTTCTCGAGGAGAATAGTTTGACCAATGAGGAGAGGCATCAAAGTTTTTCATTTGTTGTGTCCAATCAGGAGCCTGTGGGGGCGGGTCTTAGTAGGGTTTGCGTTCAATGAGGGTCTCTCCATCTTCACACTTTGAAAAGTAACTTAACTTTAAGCGATTAACAGACAGTATTGATTAAACATGTGAATTACGAGTTTAATACAAAAACCTTCATCAACAGTTCTTGAAATGAGACTACGGTTCAAGTGGGTGACGTGTGTCTGACCTGATGACCATGCTGCAGTGGGCACACATTGGGGTCCTGGTGCCTCCTGGGTAGTGCTCTGCCATCTGCACCAGCGTGTCCTGGTCCTTTGGGTGTGGCTGGGGGAGGGCTCTGAAGGGGACGGGGCCTTTGGGTGCTCCGCTGTCCTTCAACCGGAAAGAGGGAGTCACCAAACCCGACTGCGCTCCGATACCTGGCGGCACGTTCAAGTACAGGATACAGGCGTCAGGACTGGGACAAACACGCCCGTAACCATGGAGACTAAAAGTAGCCTTGAAACTAGTTATTACAATTGCAAAAACAGATTTCATTATTTTGAAAATTTCTTAAAAAGCTGGATTCCCTGTGCAAAAAATGTCAACATTTTTTGTTTTTTGCAGAAAATTAGAAAATATTTACTAAAGAAGGGTTGACGCTTTATTTGCATTGCACTAAAATAGATCTGGCTTTTCAAAAAACACTTAAGTGGTAAATTCTAAGCCTTTCAAATGTTTTCATAATGTCACTTATTTGTTTTAGCAAATTTACTAATTGAAATATTCATGATGAAAAACAGTTTTAAAATGTAGTGCTTTAGACGGAATGATGAGCGGTTTATCGGGAATCAAATTATGAAATAGTCCTGGGAACGATCTGGTTATAATCACATGTTTTCTTAAAAGTGTAAAATTATATAAAATAAATATCTATACACGGGTCAGGCTGCATGTCTGAATGGGGCTGTAAAAAGTTTGAATATATTCTTAATGTAATATCTCAATCTGTCATACAAAGATGATACAAGGACAATATGGACAATAATATATTTCAGCATTTTGTTATGATGACTTAAAATTTGGGTATGTAACTGGAGTATGAAAATAATAATAATAATAATAGCAGTCATATATGCTCAAATTAAGATTAAGATTATATTTCATCACTTTTTGCAGTGTAGAAACAACTCCAGATCTATTTTGGATGAGGGACAAGGATCTTTTTTTGACCAATTATTGTTTTAATGGAGTCTATAATTTGTTGTTTTCACCTTATTTTTGGCCTTTGTCACATTTTTATATCACCTGACTGAAAGTGAAAATGAAAAGACCACCCTCACTCAGCCAATCAGCTCTCACCCCAAAGCCTCAAGTAGTGAATCACAGTGTGTATGTGTGTGTGTGTGTGTGTGTGTGTATGTGTGTGTGTTTTTTGTGTGTGTGTGTGTGTGTGTGTGTGTGTGTGTGTGTGTGTGTGTGTGTGTGTGTGTGTGTGTGTGTGTGTGTATGTGTGTGTGTGTGTGTGTGTGTGTGTGTGTGTGTGTGTGTGTGTGTGTGTGTGTGTGTGTGTGTGTGTGTGTGTGTGTGTGTGTGTGTGTGTGTGTGTGTGTGTGTGTGTGTGTGTGTGTGTGTGTGTGTGTGTGTGTGTGTGTATGTGTGTGTGTTTTTTGTGTGTGTGTGTGTGTGTGTGTGTGTGTGTGTCAGCTCCAGGTGTGTGAGTTATTTGCCCTTTGCTCTCTCTTTAGCCTAGTGCCTGTGACTGAGTGACTGCTGCTGTCACAACATCCTCTCAGAGCCGTGTCCTTGAACGTCTCACAGGTTTGGACTCCACAGGTGAAAGGACCAGACCCACAGACCGCCAGGACCTTTACCTCACCTGGATTTCATTCTTTTAAACCACAACTGTTTATTTTTTCACAGCCCACACTCAACAGGGAGGGGCTTCACAAAGTTGTTGATTTGACAATAACAGAATATAAACTCCATTAAAAAAATAATCGGTCAATAAAGATCCTTGTCCCTCATCAAAAACAGATCTGGAGTTGTTTCTACACTGCAAAAAGTGATCAAATATAAGTCTTAGTCTTAAATTGAGCACATTATGACTGCCTTAAAACAAGATTTGCCAATGGAACAAGCTAAATTATCTTATTTTAAAAAGATACAACAAATGTCTCCCTCTGAGTCATGAGAAAATACAGCTACAGTTATTGAAATAAGACTAAATGACTTTATCCTATTGGCAAATCTAGTTTTAAGGCAATCAAAGATACAAACGACAAACAAATATTGCCTCATACATTTATTTTGCAGTGTGTCATCATTTACTACAGGTATAGCTCAGAAAAATAGATTATCATTCAAAATCTGATTTATTTCCTTGCCTTCGCATGGTATATTTTCATGATTATGGCCAAGTATCATCATTCAAAAGCCGATTACTACTACTACTACTACACTGGCCATGGCCAAGTATCATCTCCTCAAAATGAGTTCAATTTAATCTATTCCATTATGTTTTAAATCGCATTGTGGACAGTGTTAGAACGCAAATACCACTGACGCCAATAGATAGTGGCGCCATTTTGACTTTACATTTGCTTCTGAGTTTCATAACAGAATGAACGAATGAGAAGTCCATCCATCCATCCATTTTCTACCCTTTAATCCATTTCTGGGTCAGGGGGGTGGCAGTCAGAGATGCCACCCAAGTCTCATAGCACCAGCCCCTCACTGACCCTCTGCAGGTGGTGAGTCCACAGGAGGACGGCTGCTCTCTGAGTGTGAGCATAGCCTTGATCTTTCAGTGGGGGCTTTGGGCAAAGTTGGGTTAAGTGTCTTGCCCAAGGACACAACGACAGCAGTCATCAATGGGAGTCGGTGGAGAAGGTGCAGAGGTGGGAATTGAACCCACGACCTTCTGGCCTTAAGGCCAATGCTCTACCAACTGAGCTACTGTCGCCCAGAAGTAATGAAAAATAATTGACTGATTAAATGGATTTGACTTTTCAATTAGGGCTCAAAGCTGTGGTACGCAACTCTCAAACCACAAAGTAATTGACTTACTACTTTGCACCCAAAAACAATTTGGTTAAATCACTAGTTTTCACATGTATGCATTATTTGACCTTATTGTCATGTTATTGGTTCAGCTTTCTTAGACAATCAGCGCAAAGCATCCAATAGCATCTCACAGGGCTCTCTGTCTCACACTGTAAAAAAAAATCATAAAATATGAGATAATTATTCCTTAAATCAAGTGTTTTTTTATCTAAATACATTTTGACTGTTTTAAAACAAGATTTGCCAATTTCTTGTATCTTTTAAAACCAAGATCATTTTGCTTGCTCCACTGGGCCACTATATGTAAGGCAATCAAAATGTGCTCAAATTATTAAACTTTCTGCCAACTTTGAGTCATTTTTCACATATTTTTCATCACTTATCGCAGTTCTTTACCAGTACACAAAAACCCAACACATTTTCTAATAAGTCCTGGTCTGATTACTCACAGCATTTTTACTTCACAAGAGTCTTTCTGTCGGGACAAACAACAAGTTATATTGATGTTGGTATAAACAGCACATACTGAACCCACCTTTAACTGCTTTTTAATCCTAATTTAGCATAAAAACGTGTGTGGATAACTTTAGGCTTGAATTACAGGGGCCACATCCACAAATCTTGCATAACGTCCCAGGCCTGAACAGAGCGTGTGTGTTTGCAGCCGCTCGGCCCTATGTTTTCACTAAATTAACTCGCAATATAACCGCACCGCCGAGCTGTTTTCTTAGCATAAGTTACGGCGAGCAGAATGTCAGCCGTCTAAAAATACCCTGGCTGGCTCTGCACGCTTTTTTTTTTTTTTTTTTTACGACCGATTAATAAACCCTCGTCTGTACAAAAACGATTGGGAGGTGCAGAAGTGATTGAGGAGCTATAGACATGTGTTGTTGCAGGGAGAGTTCTTTTTCTTTTCCCCTGAGCGTCCTGAGTGAAGCGGCTTTGGGTTTGCAGCGTGAGGCCGTTACTGGTATATGTACTGGCGCCTTCTCCTTTAAGAGCCACACACTCAGAAGGATAATATTTACCAAAGACACCGGAGCGGTTATGAATCAGGCCGAGTGTGAATGTGACGGCTGTGTGGACACTGTGAGAAGAAATGTGTTGTAAAGAAGTTTGTATTGTAATGTAAGGCATCGGTTTGTGCTTGGTTTAAAGGAATGCAAACGTCGGGGCTTCGTGGCTGCTTATGGCTAAAGATGTTTCTGTTTTTAGTCTTTCTTTGCCCCAGGGACTACGGGTGGAAATTAGCTTTTGAGCTTTAACCTGGAACAATGCATCTGTCCCTTTGTGGTTAATGTTTATTTTACAGTGTCCAAGTCACCTTGAATAAATAGACTAAACTAAACTAAACCCTAAACTTTATGGTTGTCGTTGTGTCCTTAGGCAAGACATCTGACCCACATGGCGTAGAAAGAGTCTGGTGTGTGTGTGAATGGTGAATGAGGGGCCAATGGCACATACTGGTTGCCTCGCTTGTCAGTGTGCCCAAGGGCGGCTGTGGCTACATTGGTAGTTCACCACTATCACCCCTACAGCAAAAAATCATAAAATATGAGGTAATAATGCTTGAATCAAGGGGTTTTTATCTTAACTTGAGTTCATTCTGACTGTCTTAAAACCAGATTTCACTAATTGTTGCTTTATTTTCTCATTTGAAGGGAACCATTTCTTGTATCTTTTTCAAACAAGATTATTTTGCTTTGTCCCATTTTCATCACTTTTTGCATTGTATGTATGGAGTAAATGAATAATGACACGTGATGCGTCTTTAAGTGTCCAAAAATTGACATTACTAAATGGAAATAGACCATGCCGCTTTTTGACTTTTCTCTGGTTTAAACATCCATCCATCCATCCATTTTCTTCCCTTTAATCCATTTCTGGGTCAGGGGGGTGGCAGTCAGAGATGCCACCCAAGTCTCATAGCACCAGCCCCTCACTGACCCTCTGCAGGTGGTGAGTCCACAGGAGGACGGCTGCTCTCTGAGTGTGAGCATAGCCTTGATCTTTCAGTGGGGGCTTTGGGCAAAGTGGGGTTAAGTGTCTTGCCCAAGGACACAACGACAGCAGTCATCAGTGGGAGTCGGTGGAGAAGGTGGGAATTGAACCCACGACCTTCTGGCCTTAAGGCCAATGCTCTACCAACTGAGCTACTGTCGCCCCTTTTAAACATGGTTACAGCTATTTGGCCTCATACACATGCCCAGAGTAGATTTTAATTGATTCCCTCAAGCTTTAGTTCGAGAGCGATCTTTATCTTTCATTCTCGAGAGGCACAGAAACGAGTCGTTTCAAATCGTGACGTGGCACATTCCGTCACGTCAAAAGCCCGCCTCCAAGAGGTGATTGACAGCGGAGAGAAACTGAACCAGCGAATCAGCGCCGTCTATGGTCAGTGCATGCAGCCTCTCTCCGAGTCCAGTGGGTGGTCCATAGACAGTAAATAAGCGTCTGTGCTTTTTTGTGTTAGCTTCATGTCAACTTGGACAAAATGTGTTTTTGGTGTAAATATGTGATGATAGTATTTGACCCGAAGACGGAGAATGGGGATCAGCTTTGTTCACAAGGATCTGACTTGTATCTGCGCGAGTCTGAAATCCGGCTACCTTGAAACAGGACCTACTCAAAAGCTGATCTGGAAACATGGTGTTAATCCAACATAAAAGACGCTAAAGGGAGCCTCGGTCTGTGAGTACAATGCAATTAACTCGCCGTGTGTCACTGTGAACTAAATAATTAGGGTCTGATTCTGGATCGAGAACATATGTCTCTATATGATGGGTTGCCATTGTTGTAAAAAGTTTATTCTCAGGTATGAAATATGAAAAAAGCGAAATATGGTACCTTTAAATTGTGTCAAGAATAATGCATTTTGAGGCTTGTAAAAGTAAAACGTTGTGAACAAATCAGACCACAACAATACATGCATGAGAAAACTACTGATAGAACCAAACTGTTTAAGAGCTTCGAAATAGTTGGATGAATGTCATTAGACTGCTCTATTTTTGTGGTTTGAGAATTAGGTACCACTGCATTAAATACGTCAATGGATCGTTCTAATGCCAAACACTGTGAGAACTTTTGCTGAAGCAACAAAATACAGATACTGATCGTAGATACAGACCTCAATATCCATTGATCTCGAGATTTAGATTTCTCTCTCTTTAGAGTTAATCTCAACACATAAATACTCACTCGGTTTTACTTTCACTTTAGGACAAAAACAACTGGACACGTGTCCTCATTAAACTGGTTGTGTCACTCACCTTGTATCGGACCCTTCATCATGGTTTTCACCACTGCAAAGTTGTGACCGTCCACCGCAGACTCCACCCCCTCGTTGCTGTGGAAACAACACGGCTCATATTAAAGAAGACATATTACGTTGTACTTAAATAGTTATTTTTTGACAATTCACAAAAGGACAGATTGATTGGAAAAAAATATCAATCTCAAATGCAGTTTGTATGGGCAAGTGTAAGTTGTTTTGAACAGGTTGGTTTTAAGCAGTGATTTGAAGTTCTGAAGTGAGTGAGTTCCTGGGGGCCGCTGCAGTGAAGGCTCGGTCCCCCAGGGTTTGCATTTTCCTCAGATGTGAGGCTGCCAGGTTATGAAGGGACTTGCAGGTGACCATATATTGTATGTGTATGGAAGGGGGAGCCAGTGGAGTTGTTGGAAGATAGGGGTGACGTGGTTTCTACACTGCAAAAAAATGATCAAATATTAGGTCATAAATAGAGATGCACCAATGTATTGACTGAAGTCAAGTATCAGACTCGGATATCAGTATCGGACGACGTTTGCCTTGTTAATTACCACTTTCCTCATTGGAATAAACAAAGAAGATGGCAGCGGTCCTTTGGCAAAATTTTACAGTATCAGAAAAAGATCAGCGTTATGCCGTTTGAAATACGTGTTCCAGTGAGATTTCAGGAGGGACTGCTAGAAAATCATCTAACACAACAAATCTGACTGGACATTTGAGAAGCAAGCGGTGTATAGCCATTGCAACTGAACGGACAACTGAAGCTGCCAAGAAATATATATATGTATATATATAAGTAATCTTTATTTATACAGCACGCATAACAAAACATGCATACTCCACTCAGACCTGACCGGGATTTTGAACCCAGGACCTTTATGCTGAGAAGTGAGAGTTCTATCCACTCAGCCACCGTACTGCAGTCAGAATGTTCTGAAATTAATACATTAACTTATGTCTTAATTTTTACCACTTTTTGCTTTGTTTGTGAGCAATTATTTTTTCCCTGCAGGCTCGGCACTACCGCTCCATGCCCACGGTTATTCATACACTTTGTTGTAAGGTTAGAGACCACTTTTATGCTATTCTACCTTTCTTCAACCATGGTAGCTCATGGTAACAGCAGCATTTTCCCTTGGTGCCAAAAAAGCCTGTGCCACGCAGCGCAGAGTTATGCACAGATGGAGAAAATAAATCAACGATATAAATAAATAAAGAAATAAAGAAAGAACTGAAAAATGCTTTCATAAAATCTGGACTTACTCTTATAACGAATATCTTGTTATATTGGCAGGTATTATTACTTAGAAAGCCAAAGATCGAGGCGCTTGGAGATCTCTTGTAAGTAAGTAATTATTACTTGAACTGGTCTTATCAATTCTAAATTTAAGTCATAAACTAAAAATCTTTTTTTTTACATCATCAAACTGTCCAGGGACCACAGGGGGACAATTACATATTTTCTTTCTATAAGGCTAATGTTTTATTGTGCATTGTCCCGGATAAATACACAAAATACACAAATAAATAAATACACTCAATTAAATTCAATACATGTTTGTCCCAACAGAGTAAAAAAAAAAGTAAAATACAAATCAACCCCCATCTCCCGTCCTCATTGTATTTAAACTACAAGTTATCTTTCACACACCTAAGAAAGAGCCTTTTAAGTCTATGTTTAACACACGGGGCTTCAATTTTCTGGTCTAGAGGCCAAAAATATATTCATGTGAAAACCAGTGATAGAACCTGTGCTTATTATTATCATCACATTGTTTTATTTATTGAGGTTTGAATGTCAGGTACATTCTTCTTTAGCCGAGGGCGTGGGTGGCCTCCTGTCTCCGTGTGCCAGTGTTTGGACCAGAGACTGCCAAAGTCCATGAAGACCTCACATGATGGACTGCTCCCACACAGACGTCCAGTGTGCGTGTGGTGCATGAATATTCACACCAGCAGATAGTGGTAAACTTACATAAACTGAACTCTTTCTCTTGCTCTACAGCAGTGATTCCCTTCACCGAAGTCACATTCCCATTGAAATATCTGAGGCTTCATACTTCATACTACCACCTTTCTCGACTCGTTAATTTATATTACTCCAGGTCAAATGGGTTAACAATGTTTTACGTAGTCAGCTTTAAACATTGAAACATTTAAAAAGGGAAGCATGAGAGGACGATTCTCTGAAAACAGACATTTCAGCAGTTTTTCTGGATCCAGTTGGTAGAGTTATGATACTGACCAACAAATTCATTAACAGATATGTTAATTCTGACTAAAATCTAATAGTCTAATAATAATAATAATAATAATCTAATAATCTGACTAAAATCAACCACCACCATCATTCACAATGACTCCAGACTCAAACCAGGCAATGAGGGTTAAGAGTCTTACCTGAGAACGCCATATCACCGCAGAACCAGAGGTTTTTGTCCCCATTTTGTCTTGGTTTGAGTTTGTAGTTCTTTTATATCCTGTATTTACTGACATTTATGAAAACATATTAAGACTACTCCAAGCTTGTCAGTTCCATTACTACTGTACATCAACAATCAGTTAAATATTTATTTTTTAATGGAAAGTTGTTGAGTATGTGTCCTTTATGGAATGAGTCAGTACAGTTCCTCTTATCTACACATCTGCACACAGCACATTTACTGATGATACTTATATTTATCTTGTATTTCAGTCAAAGCAGAAACAGGAAAGACTTTTTCCAAGTCATCGGTTACCATAACAACACACAATGTTGTGATATCTGTTAGCATTTGGCTAATAATAGCTAATGTCCACAGCAGGAAACAGTCCCATGGCGCTCGTCTATTACAGCCAATTACACAGAAGCTCGTTAATGTTCTCCACCAATCAGCTCCATTAACCAGCCTGTAAGTACATTTTCCTGGGCCCTGATTGGTTGATTGATGGCGATGTCACTTACAATCTGCACCAAGCATTTAGTAAACTGTCCGACGGGGAGGAGAGTTCTGGATCACTGTTTCCTCCAGAGACATGGTCCACCTAAAGCAGGCGTGTCAAACTCAGGCCCGTGGGCCAAATGTGCCCTGCGAGACTATTTTAAGTGACCCTTGAAATGATGATCTTTATCGCAGTAACCTGCAGCATTGATGAGTAGGGAATACTATGGCATGTTATACTTAATGTTAAAGCCTATTGTCTTAAGAAATCAACCATATAATTGTATCTGTTCTAAAATGTCAAATCAAATATAATTAGAAGTTATGTTTACTTTTACTTTTAATCTATCTTCCAATACATCTCTTATTGATATTTGGCCCAGTTATGGTTGAAACCAAACCTACTAGAAAATAAATCTGGTTGAAATTACAGCCTCAGCAGTCAAGGAAAAAGCCTGTGTATCAACAGCTTCAGCTTTGATTTGTACAAGACTTTATTGTTGAAGTGTTTGTTCTATCTAAATGCTTTCTCCATCAAGCCTGTTTTCGAACTGTGTGGGACTATTGAAACTTTTGTTGTTTGAGTCAAGCTTCATAATAATGTCTAAAAGAACAAACTGAGAATATTGAATGTTGAGCTGTGCTTCCCCCTGCTGGTATATGGTAAGAACTACACCCAGAACTACACCCAGTACTACTATGCTGGAAGGATGTCCATTTCTATGTCCACTAAGAGTAACAATTGTTCTCAAAAAAAGATTCCATAATAAATGTAAAGTTTATCCCCTGGACAAAAATATTATGCAAAATTCAAAGCAATGTCAATATGTCTGGTGCAGAATTAACTACGATAAGATAAACCTTCATTCTTCCCACAGTGTGGAAATTTCCATGTCATCTTTGCGCTCATTAAAGCAGAATAAAAGAAGAAAATAAGAGCACTCAGGTTGGACACATGAAATAAGATCTACATTATTCAAGATAATAGATAATACAACAATAAAATAAAACTCTGGAGCTATAATTGCACTTGGATAAAGGATAAGTCACTTGTGGAGTTTACACTGTAGTCAGCAGGAGGTATTTACAGACGTTTCTATTGTACTTTAGCAGCAGAGAAAAATATCAGAATTAGCAATAGTAATAATAGCAGTAGGAAAAGTGACTAGTGAATCATCAGAACAGAATCAGATGAAAGGAATATGTAGTAAAGTCAAAAAAATAACAATAGAAGGTAAAGTAACTGCTGAATAGAAAATGTCTCAAAATTAAAGAGAGAAAGTAAAAGATCCACAAAGAAAGAGAGAAACATATTTATTAGCTGCATTACATATTATTCATAGATAGTTCAAGCCGAAACACATGTTTTTAATAAAAATCTAGATAAAAACACATATATTACAGTGAGCCTCTGCAGCCTCCAACACAACACTTACTAAAGCCAACAGTGATGCTCCCTAACCCTGACACACGCAACAGTCCATCTGAGGTCAAACACTGCAGATGGATCTAACCCTGGGTCTATGATAGTAGAATCTAACACTGTTTTTGTGCAACACACATTTGTGGCTAAATTAGCCCAAACGTTGCACCATAAGGTTCATGCCCAGCTGTGTATAATGATACCACTGCTGCTAAAACACACTGTTTACACCAGTTCAGTGTTAACACATTTACACATCTCTTTAGACCATAATCTATATATTCCATTTATGGATTAAATTGAGCGATGACATTCCAGTGACATTCCATCGTTTTAGGTAAAAAAATGCCAAACATTAACAATCTATGAATAATTTCTTGTTTCTTTTTAGCAATTTGAAATGTTAAACAGTTCTTAATATGACAGTATGTAAAATCATGTCTAGGCAAATTGTTATTGACGCTAATGCTAATGCTAATTATTGCTTCAATACTTTTGACGATTGTCAAAGACTTTACATTAATGCAGACATCTCTGAGACACAAACCAAACATGTGCTAGTTTCACAAAGACGATAGTGGATTGGTGTGAACACATAGCTATATTATGTAAATTGTTCTTAATATGTCAAAAAACTACAGATAACAATGACACAAGCCACGCCTGATTCGTTCATGTGAATCAGCAATGCAAAAGTAACAAATAAAAAGTTGTATTTTTATACTCAAAATGTGTTTGAATTTTTCACACCAGTCACACGACCAACACCAGACACAATCTTCTGCTTAGTTAAAACTAGCTGTAGTCACATTATTTTCATCATCCAAACATGCACAAGCACACAGACACACACACACACACAAACACGCACATGCACTCACACACACACACTTATATGAGTTCTTCTGCAAGCTTTTCCTTTGGTTCTCAACTTTCCAACCGGGACTCAAAAAGAAAAAACATGTTAAAGCATGTTAAAAATTGATAAATAATGGTGTCTGCTTTTTCATTTAATTCTAATACATATTAACATATGGTTCTTATATGGGTATTCTATGTAGCCTTATATGGAGATGGTAGCTGCCATCTTCCTACTGCACATTGAGCGTACGCGCAGACACGCCGTGGTGCCAGTCCCTCAGCTCGTGGTACTTAGGCCCCACCTGCAGCCGGGTGGCGCTCTTGTTCACGCTGTCACCACACAGACAACAGGAAGAGACCAAAAGAAGAAGAAGGGTTTAGAAAAGTTCATTCACACTGCGCTCTCAAGTCGGTAAAGTAAAATTCTTCCATTCAAAACCACCAGACGAGTACAGGAGAATCAACAATTTGACGGGGGTTGACTAGAAATCTGGTAACTACTATAGACCGTACCAAAAACACACATGAAACTTAAAATTCAACTTAAGGTTCACTGTAATTTCCTTTGGGATCAATAAAGTTTATCTTATCTTATCACTTGTTTAGCACTTTCAAATATACAGTATACTTAAAACATATATCTATACATATACAGTACATACATGTACATGCCAAATGTGACATGTATATTTCTCCATTGCGAGATCAATGAAGTCCATCTTATCTTATCTTTAAACATACAGGCATGTCTTGTGGTCATCACTCTAATTTAATTTTCCGACATGTATATACCTATGTGGATTTTAAATGGGTTAGGGCTAGGAGTAGGGTAGGATTTTACTTCTGTCTTTCGGAAGCTTCGCCTGGTCTCTTTCACACAGCAGGAGAGGGTGGAACTGTGTTTAATATTAAGGGTTTTCACACTCAACCATTGTCTCAAATTGTGGGTCCATTTAAAGCTGGGATACCTTTTTTCTCTCCATAAAGTGTTTTGTAAATTTTGAAAAACTTTCTGATAATAATGCATTGACTCCACATTACGATTGAACTAATGCATTCTCAAGGATTAGCCATTGCTCTTTTGAACTGAAAAAGCTAAACATAAGTAAAAGGTTCTGTGAAAACCCCAGAGCACAGACAGAAGGAACAGGAAACTTACATCAATAAAAACATGCATCACACACAGAACATTAGCCAAACACCACAAATCAACACGTTTTAGGGGGTGAGAGGTCTGCACACGCCAAACACTATCAGTCCAAAAGTCTGAGGCTCAACAGGAAAATGAAATAATCAAATAATCTTTTTCTCCTCATCAAAATACACCCAAAGCTGTTTTTAGCTCCAGCAACACACAGCTCTGTTTTAAAACTAGAACTCCTCAGGGCAGTCATTTTGACGACTTAAGTGAAGTTACTCCTCTGAGGCTTATGTACGTTTTTGGTCTTCATAACTGTTGGGGCAAAACGACTCCTCTGTGTCCTTCCTGACCCCGCTTGACCAATCGCGGGTCATCTTGAGTATAGCTGGTGCTATGTGTACTGGGTGCAGCTCTCACTGACCCCCCCCCCCCGACCCAGAAATGGATTAAGGGGAAGAAAATGGATGGATGGATGGATCTTAGGTATGAACTAGGAGTTCCTTCTTGGGGGCTTTTCGCTCTCTGCTCTGACACACGGCCTGGTCACGTGAGGTAGGCCCTCGGCAGATGCCTGCTGGGCCTACCCTCGCTCCCTCAATCCAATCCACAATCTCTCTCCTTTAGATAAGATAAGATATGATAAGATGAACCTTTATTTGTCTCACAGTGGAGACATTTCAGTGTCATCCTTTGTTTATGTCTGTATGTAATAATTTGAAGGAAAGTGGCAAAACACTGAAAATGTGCCTTTTTTTTTCTTTCAGAATTCAGGGGAGCTGTCAAACTGACAGAGAGTTCTAGTTGTTTCAGGATTCTAGGTGTTGTAGTGATACAACTCTTTATACTTGGACAAAATCTGTCACACAAAGCACAAATTGTCCACCTGGGTCCACAGTGGTAAAGGTTGCCGTTTTGTTTAGACCTGTTACGGCTTTTGACCCCAGGAAAGACAGGAACGTGTCAAAAACGAACTCTGACTTTCAAAACAGGCCTCTTACAGTCACATCAACAACAACAAAAACATATTTTTACAAGGACAACTTTGTAAACGAAAGAGCAGTGCGAGAAAAAGCCTAAAACTTGATGGTGAGAGCTTCACACTTGTCACGCTGAGTTTAAAGCAGAATTTATTCTTCAATCACTACTTATTTTGCTCATCCAGACATCTCATTTATTTTACATCTACTTTAAGATATCGCCAGCAAATGTTGAGTTCAAAGGCTTGCCCCATATGCAGACACAACAACAGCTGAAATCAACAACAAGCTTTGACAGCACAACACAACACAAGTTACACAACACACTGTTTTTAGTATGCTACAGCTCAAATGACTCATCACACACCACATAACAGTTGTGAAAATGCAAATTCTTATTGTTAGTATTTCCTCCACGACTGTAGTAGCAGCAATGTCTCGTGTTTTAACCATTTTTGAACTTCACATCAGTCAAACCTACATGGTCGGACAAATTCGTTCACTCAAATGCAGTCTAAATAATTATGTTAGAGGTTCCCAAAGGCAGTGGTCTCAAATCAAGAAGAAGAAAGGTATTTTGTGGCCCTCTAGTGGACACATTTTTACCATAAATATTGAACCCTAAACTCAAAAATATTTATCAGGTCTTTGGTCCAGTTTTGTTTCAATCCAAACAGCTGGACTAATTTTCATTGAAATATATACAAGGATGTCCATTCTCTTATTCAATAAAAGTAAAATATCTTCATGATTATAAACATCACAGATCCAAATGATGAGCTATAAACACACTTTCCACAGACGCTTAATCCAATGTTGTTTTGTCTTTTCGGTTCTACAAAAGCAAACATTTACTTTCTCTTTTGTTTTTGTTTGATGGACGTTTGAAAAGTAAGGATACATTCCTGGCGCTAAACTGAGTGTGCAAAAAAAAAATAATATTCCTCTGTAAGTTCATAGATTTGTTTTCTCACATGTCCATATATTTTCCGCACACCCGTGATAAATATACCCAGATTGTACCCGCAGCTTCACCCAGGCTCCTCCTCCTGCGCCCTCTAAAGGGTTTCATGGAGTTTGAGACCCCGACCCTTGACAACTGGACTTCAGTGATGTACAGTAAAACAGACTAAAAATATGAAAATATCTAAATATCCTTCTTTTTGATAAATGTATATTTAATGTGTAAAAAGATGTCAATGTATAGTTTTGGGCCATAGTGTCAACATTATTGACCTTTTACGTTTTACTTTATGTCATTGTCTGTTTTTGGCACAAAACTAACAACCTACCAAACTATACAGTCAAAATACGACATTTTTCCAAACTAAGAATTTATTCAATGAAAAATAATCTGTTGGACGTGTTAGTTGTTAGTGTTAAAATGTGGAGGTTAAAGACTCACTTTGTCTTCTTGGCTGAGTCCGTCTCTTCAGGTTGAGCTACAAAAAGAAAACAGGAAAAAAACAAAAAAAACATTATTCACAGATATAATAATGTCTCTGGTTTAAGTGTGAGTCAGGTAAAAAGTGTTCAGTGTGAAGTCTTATCAAGTCTTCTTAGAGATATATATTCACAAAACAACTCATATTTGTGTCTGTGCTAAAAATCCAAAAATAATATCAATGATTGACGTGTGCATTCAAATGAAGAGTTGTTCTTTGTACTAAATGTTTGGAGAAAATTCTTATCCTGGAACCAGCTGAATATCTCTTCGAACACCTTTCACCTTATCAACCCAAAGTAAACATCACGTTGACAAAAGAAAAACAATTCTTATCGGAAATAAATATTTAACAATTTCAGTCATATAGTTTCCTCTTTACAAAAATGGATTCATTTAATTGAGGAAAAACATTAGATTATAATATCTACTAAATAATCTCAAAGTTCAAGTCCCTTTTACAAAGTCAAGACAACCTTTAGATCGCCCTGTTCTTCTCACCAAAAACAGGTGAAACTCTGAAAATGTTCTTCTGTAATTCAACTTAGTGTGAAAGTAATGTCAGACACGTTCAGTTTGTATATAGTTTAGTTCATATAGTTTATATATTTATAACAATAAAAGTATATCAACACCCAAAACAAATATATTTTCATCAGAATTATAACAAGCAGGCATATGTCACTTTGCATGTGATGAGTCTTATCAGGGTTCACGTGGTAAGTTAAAGTACAGAAAAACAACTTTTAAATGACATTATAATTGATAAGTTTTTATCTGTAAATCTCAACTATGATGTCAACTTGTTTTTACACTGTAAAAAAATATAAATCATAAGGTAATAATTGTTGAATCTTGTGGTTTTTATCTTAATTTGAGCACATCCTGACTCTCTTAAAACAAGATTTCCCGATGGGACAAAGCCATTTAGTCTTATTTCAAGAACTGTTGCTTAATATTCACATTCAAAAGGAGACATTTCTTGTATCTTCTTAACAGAGGTGGGACAAAGTCATTGTTTAGCAAGTCACAAGTCAGTCTCAATTCATTGCCCTCAAGTCCCGAGTCAAGTCACGAGTCGAGTCCAAGTCAAAGGCCAACAAATCTCAAGTCAGTCCCAAGTCCTACGGTTTGACTTTCGAGTCCTCTCGAGTCTTTTTGACCGCGATTTGTTTCTTGTTGGTCTCCACGTACTTTTGTAGGCAAACAAAATAATGTTAGGAATCATTTTGCTGGTGCATTCTCGTTGGTCTCTGACCCATGGACTAACAGTTTGTTCCATGTCGTTGTCTGCTGATAAATCAAAACTATCTAACGTGATCTAATTGGATGTTGTGCCAGATGCAGGCTCAGTTACACATGCACAGACCACACATAAAATCAGAGCAGTCCGTGTCAACATACTTTTTATCTTTGGGGTTTTTAATGGGAAGTAGCAAGTGCAGCATATATGAATATGAGTATTGGGCTAGGACCTGTATCTATATAATCAGTTTAAAACAAGATACTTTTGTTTGTCTCATTGTTAAATCTTGTTTGAAGCCAATAAAAAAAGTTCTCAAATTAAAATACATTTTACCAAATTTGAGCCTTTTTTGATATTTTTGTCATCACTTTTTGCAGTGCACTCTTTCAGAGTATAACAAATAACTAAAGTCCCACAAATATGCGGAGTGTGGGGCCCTCGGTGAGACTCACGGTTCTCGGTGCCGGTGATCTGGGCCAGGATCTTGAAGGACCTGGACTGGGTGGTTCCGGTGCGTGGTCTCCAGTCCTCGGTGTCCTCAGTGATGCGCTTGCGGCTGGCGTCGGCGTGCGTGGGGACGTGGTAGAAGTGAATGTCTGTGTCCACGATGTGTTTACGAGGTGCTCTGCTCAACAGCACAAAGGCACAAGTTTGAACACACACTCACAGCAGGGAAAGTAACACAACTTCAGGAATGAAACGCACAAAATTAGTCCAGTTGTAGTTAATTATGACGCTGGCTATATACTACAGGATTTAAAAAATCTTTGGGTTGTTTATCAATGATTATTTATCTCACAGTTCCAGACACTACTGTTGCCTCTGTTGCTAAGAGACAGTGTCAGCAGTGACCAACAATGTTTTTCTGATCTTTACATTAAATAAAAATATGAAAATGCATTGATGCAACCTGCATCATGTCTGTAATTTCAGAGGCTAGTTTTGAGCAAAGAAATCAGGCTAAAACTGTACTGAAATCTGACAAAAACTGAGCTAAAATTGAGCTCCAGTTGTACTTAAGTCAGGTTAAAACGGTGCTAAAATCTTGTTAAAATTGGACAAATCAAGCTAAAATCAAATTACAACCACGCTAAAATCAAGTTAAACCCAGGCTAAAATTAGACTAAAATTCAGCTTAAACCAGGTTAAAATCAGGCTAAAATCAGGCTAAAAACAGGTCAAAGTCAGACTGAAATCAAGCTAAAACCAGGCTAAAATCAGGCTAAAATCAAACTAAAAACTGACTAAAGTCCAGCCATAGGCACACATATTCCAGTAGCCAGTATAATAGTTAAACTACGGTTATAAGCACACATGGTGATGAATGTAGAGTGTGGTCAGATACAGTGGGTCACAGTGGGTCACAGTGGGTCACAGTGGGTCACAGTGGGTCACAGAGGGTCACAGTAGGTCACACATGTACCTGGGAGCCTGAGCTTTCCTTCACATCCAAACGAAAAGGAGAAAAAAGGAAAAATGCAATGAAGAAAGATGCAAAGCCCAGTATATAAAAAATAAGCACAAAGCATATATCTAAACTTACTTCATAATACTTTGAGGTCCACTACACGTGCAGCAAAGAGGGAAAAATAGTTCAGTTAGAATTAGTTACAAAAAACAAAAACAAAAAAAAACTACATTGTAGAATCGGAATGCATGAGTATTCAAAAGCAGATTATAGCTTTAGTCTGTTCTGTTAGTATTTTTCTGGGCAGTATATTATAGAAGTGTTGTTGTACATGTGTTAGTGGTGGGGAAACCGGAGTACCTGGAAGAAAACTAAGCAGAGACAGGGAGAACATGCAAAATCCAGACAGAAAAGGCCCTATCAAGAAGTCAAAAATAAATGTCTAAAATGTCTTTTACTCAGACAAATATATGTCTGAACAAAACATTTTTTATCGGTTTGAATTGGAAAATTATCTATATAAGTCTGAATCGAATGCACTTAGACAACAAGCTGACACAAGTGCAGGTTCAGCCACTAGGAGGAGCTGTTGGACAGTTTTACTGACTTAATAACATGTTTTGTACAGTAAATCAGGTAACGGCACTGAGCATGTGCTATTCTTAACACACTATCAAAAAGTAATTAAAGTTTGTAGCCAGGTTTTATTAAGGTAAGGTATAATTCATTGTCTAAGTGTAAATTGTCTAAATTACCGTAGTTCAAGCAGGGGTACCTAACCTTTTTTCCTCTCATAAGTAATCCAAGTTTTTTGCCCTACAGAAAGAGTCTAGAAAAAGTCTGACATGTTGTAGACTACATCATACTGTCTTTATCATTTTGAAAAAAGCCATCTTTTGAATACTTCTAAGTAGTAAGTTATCTTTATTTATATAGCACCTTTCACAGACTGGTCTCTTACTCCACACAGAGACAAGAGTGAGATTGCCATACAGAAGGTGCATGCCAGACATGTTTGTTTTTAGTGGTAGCGGAAACCGGAGGGAACCTATACGCAGACACGGAGAGAACACGCAAACTCCACTCAGAAAGGCCCTGTTCCGACCTGTTTGATACTTTGGCCTGAGAGCCCAAAGTAAGTGAGGGTGGGCCTCTTTTATCACTCTTCTGTCTGGAAAAATATGACCTGTGACAGAGGCCTTAAATACTTGGATGTGATAACTACTAATAGTGATAGAACCAAACTGTTTTGAGAGGAAGGATTTTTTGTGATTTGATAGTTCGATACCCCAGCTTTAAAGTGCCTTTGCAAAAGAACAACACACTCTGTATCGTCCATGTGTTCTATCAGTCAAATCCATGCGTGTCTTTCTATGAATTAAAAAACATGCAGAAACTGAAAGTAAAACAAATCTACACTCCGGACACATGCAGAGGGACTGACTTTGCGACGGCTCGAGCTGCTCCCGTCTGCAGAGGAGGAGGAACAGAGGAGAAATGTGGAGGCTTCAAAATGTTCTGCGCAAAAGAACATTCACATGCAACAGGACTTTGACGGAGAGGACATTTGAGTGGCTTTAAGTTTATGGAGAGACTTTGGGCTCACACTGTGGATTGTACAGAGCAGACAGAGCAAGGAGCAGCGGAAGTGGATAAATACACTGCAAAAAATGATTACATATGAGGTGATAAATGCTGGAATCGAGTGTTTTTTGTAAATTAATTTCAGTTAATTCTGACGAGATTTGCCTTATTACAAAATCTGCTGCTCTATTTTCTCATGCCAAGAGAGGCAAATCGTGTTTTGAGGCGTCAAAATGTTCTCAAATTCAGACACATTTAGCCAAATTTGAGCAATTTTTGACTTATTTCTCATCACTTTTTTGCAGTGTAGGAGGATATGGTACAAGTCGGCCTTCTGTGTGACTGATCCAACCCAAAACATGTCAGAATCAGAATATCTGTCTGGCTCCAGTTGTGTCGTATTCAGCACAAAACGGCAAAGTGATTGACAGTGAATATACATGGGTTTTTTCTACATTAAAGGGGACATAATCTCTGTTCACTATACTATGATCTACTGTATGACCCCTGTGGTTCTTTATTAAACATATTGTGCTTATGAAATGTAAAGAATGAGCTAATACGATGTTATATTGTAGAAGAAGGAACCAGTCAAGTAGCTCAACCTCTGGTCCCACATCGCCCGACGGAGAATCGGGGGAACTGGCTAAAAATACATGGCTCTGCTCTTCGGCGTTGTGGACAAAGCTATAATGCAATTTTTTTTTTTCTTTGACCCAATTGGCCAAGCATGCTGAGTGGATCCTCTGTATATCACTGATTCAAAATAACAAAGGACTGAGGGGAGAGCAATGGCGGCACGCTAAAACAAATAACTCCATCATGCATGACTCGCGCTAAAACAGCTTTGTGTGAAAATGACAACACTAATAATATGGCCAATAACTGAGAAGAGCCAATGTTTAGTTTATCTACCCTTCTCTGCATATTTGTTATATATTTTACAGGTTTGCCAAGCATTTATGATCATCTTGAAATAATCGAACCACCTCCATGGTCCATAGGTTATCTTATGTTATCTTATGTTTCCCTGTGGAGAAAATTGAACTTGAACTGTTAGTCTATACATTTCTCCAGTTATCAATGCTCCAGACATTTTTAAAGCAGTCAAATCAAAGTCATCCCTTTAACAACTATACAAGTTATTATATTATATTGCGATTATTATATTGCGATTATTATATTGCGATTATTATATTGCGATCATTATATTGCAATTATTATATTGCGATAGTTAGTTAAAGTTAGTTAAAGTTAGTTAGTTAATTATATTACGGCCATTTTATTGCGGCCATTTTATTGCGGTCCTTATATTGCGATCATTATATTGCGGTCGTGATGTCGAAGGTCATATACAGACTTATCTGTGTCCTCGGTGCACCAATATTTGACACCATTTTGGGCTGAATCAGAAATACAAAACTTTATTTTGACATGGGATCTCCATTGGTCTGGTCCATGTGCGCCACTCACCCGTTAGCCAAAGCTCCGCCCAGTGTTTCCCCGTGCCCCAAAGCTCCACCCCTTTTCTCCCCCAGGCCACGAGGTCCACCCCCTACATCCCCCAGCCCCCGCCTCTGCCCCAGGGCCACCTCACAGGCGTTCTGGGCAGAGTACAGAAGGATGGGGGAGTTGTAGACGGACGGGTGGGCGGGGCATACTGCGGGGGAGGGGCTTGGCGGGGTGAAGGCTGACAAGGCCGAGGGGATGGGCGGTGGTGGGCCAGGAGTCGGACTGTCCCGGGGGAGAAGGGGGAGGGGCTGAGTCAGAGCCACGGGTCTGATGATGTCGTCCTGAGTGATGAAAGCAAGCATGCATACACACACACACACAAGGTGAAAACATTACACACACAAACACATATGTACTGATGCCACAATAATGTCATGTTCTCTCAGCAAATATCCTCAATCTCAGATGTCGAGGCTGTTTGTTTAATAACCACCAGAGGGCGCTCACCACCTGGGTTAACTGTCCGGCACTGCATCCAAATGTAGACACAAGAGTTCAGCCAAGAAGATGACCTGAGAGCGCAGTTTATTTTGTAGGCTGTTGACGACTTTGTTTAGATGCCAATTAAGTCTTGTATTTGTTCCAAAATTATTTATATATATATATATATATATATATCCATCCATCCATCCATCCATCCATCTTCTTCCCCTTAATCCATTTCTGGGTCGGGGGGGTGGCAGTCAGAGCTGCACCCAGTACACTTAGCACCAGCCCCTCACTGATCCTCCTGCAAGTGGTGAGTCCACAGGAGCTGAGATCTTTCAGTGGGAGCTTCAGGCAAAGTGGGGTTAAGTGTCTTGCCCAAGGACACAACGACAGCAGACATCATTGGGAGTCGTGAAGTAGGTCTTATGGTGGGCTTGAACCCACGACCTTCAGGCCCAAAGGCCAATGCTCTACCAACTGAGCCACTGTCACCCCTATATAATATATATATATATATATATATATATATATATATATATATATATATATATATATATATATATATATATATATATATACACTTATCACTGAGCTCCTTGTTTACCTCAATTAATTAAGTCTTCTACTTCCAACTCAACTGACGTCATCAACATCATTGTAAGTAATCTTTATGTAGCACATTTTTACAGACCAAGGTCACCAAAGGCAAAAGTGAATTCAGAATTATCTTCTTTGTAGGCCGACAAATAGGATTGGTTTAATAATAATTTCCACCATATGCACAATTATATTGAAAATAAGAAACTCCATGTGACTTCTCCTTCATGGGGCATTATCCATGTTTGGCTAATATATGGCCTGCTGCTTTGGGCACCTCTGGTTTAGCTCTTTGTGAGTCAATAGAATTTTGGACAATAAAGGTCGAAAACATATACATAGTTCCCACATGACGTCACTACATACGGGGATTTGCCGACCCGGCGCCATTTGTCTTGGCATTCTGTGGGCAAAACAATAGAAAAAGAAGCTGAAACGTGTTAATGTCGTGATAAAGTTGAAAATGGTCATCTCCTGCTGGGTCAATGGATGTTCAAATCGTGCCGGAGGTTCCGTTAAACTTGGATTTTACAGTATACCCATCATTAGACTTCATGAATGTGAGAAGACTAAGCTTTTGTCAGAACAACCACGGAGGTTATGGCTTGCGAAGATAAACAGGCAAGAAACTCCCTCAAAACACGCAAGAATATGCTCGGAGCACTTTGTGTCAGGTGCGTATCGTATCTTATAATGTGTTGACAGACGTAATTTACTCAGTACTAACTTGTGTATGCTGATACCTGGTAACTTGAGAGTTTCATTATTTAGTGTTAGATTACTTTATTATGAGGAGGATCGGTGTCGCGTCCGAGGCTCTCGAGGGCAACGTAAATGTATTAAATAGATAATAATAGTTCTATGGTGGGCTAAAACAATGTTCACAAACAGCATTGCTTCTGTAAAAAGATCTGTGTCATAAAATAAACTGCTCTTTACGCCTGGAAAAATCAGTTGCCCACCATTCACCAAAACATACGGTCAAAAACGCGGAAATAAACAATAACAGCAATCCAGAGTGTCCGTGTGGCTTTAGCATTAATTAAATTAATTGTTAATATAATTAAAATAATTAAATGGAGCTCCAACTGGTATTAAATCTAAAGTTTTTGAGAAATGTTTGCATTGCTTGTTAATTTTTGCTGCATAATTTGATCAAATCTGTAAAACATGTCCGTAGCACGTTAAACTGTGGTGCCATTGTATTAATATACAATTATTTGCTCAAAAGTTGCCCTTTTTTTCCAATTTGCGTTTGAATATCTACATTTATTCTCATTCTTCTGTTTAATGGAATGCACAAACACAGCAGCGTGCCATCAAAGATGGCGTCTCCGAGGAGGTCATGTGACATTCATTGGTCTGTGGGAACTATGTATATATGGGTTTCACAGACCCGTTTTTTTTCATGGCCTTGAGTTTTACACTGACCGTGACACTGGGTTCCATTTCAAGCAGAAGCTCTCTTCAAATGAGTGGTTTGTGGGTAAAAATGGACCAGTGCATCTGTTTTATGTTGTTTCATTTCTCTAATAGCTCATGACTGCCCTCTTGTGGTTATTTAACAGTTGCCATAGGAGATAGTTAAGGGTGAATCTGTTCCTGTTAACATCCAGCAGAGAGGCATCAGTACATCGAGTACATGCAAGCAGGCAATTACATACAACAATGTCTAAAAAGATTCTACGCATCTCAAGGGGAGACATTACTGGATATACAGTAGTTTGTTTTCCATACATTTTCAATGTAATTTGTAAAGTCTCTCCTTAAGTTCAGTGTCCACTGCACAACATATTTTTGTAGATTCCTACTGTATGTTCTCAATCTGTGATATGGATGATTCTGCATTGCCACACGTAATGGGAACTTTAAAATGATCCATCCTCATTTTTCTTGCATGTATATCATTGTTGATCACTATTTACAATGTTTAAAATGTGAAATAATCAGGTGTTGTAGATATAACTTTATAGGTGAAGATGTTACAGACCGAGCATGACAAACTCAGGCCTGTGGGCCAAATCCGGCCTGTGAGACCATTTTTTATGGCCCCTTATCACAATATTGCAGCATTGATGGTGGTGGACTACTATGGCATGTTATCCTTCATTTTCAAGCCTACTATCTCCGAGAAAACAACCATATTATTGAATCTGTTCTAAATGGTCAACTGAAATGTAATTAGGAGTTAGTTTCATTATTTTTTATATATCTTGTTTTATTATTTTAATTTTTATATTGAATTAACAATCTTAAAACACACTTCTCGATATAGAAAATAATATCAAAACCTGTGTCGAATACAGTTAAATTATCAACACACAAAAATAAAAATAAAATTATTGCAATCAAAGTAAACCACTTTTATGCTTCTGGCCTGAACCAGCTCCTATGTTTTTTATTTGGCCCTCGACCAATGTCAGTTTGCCATCCCTGTTCCAGGCAAATCCTCAGATAAAGATAAAACGTGCAGTGGACACATGACAACAAATACACTGATTGAGAAAGTAGAATTTAAGTTTCATATCGCAGTACATTATATGCACATGGATCACTTTTATTTCCAATCAAGTGCCACTTTTCAGACTTTTGGATTTAAATAGTATTATAAAATTGTACCATCTCCATCAGTTGCTCAAACACCTTCTGTATTCATTAACAAACGTGCAATTGCAGACTTACCTTTGGGGCGACCGGCGGGGGTTTGGGAACAGTAGGAGCCCTGAAGGAGACAAAGCAATGATAGTGTGAATAAAAACACATTATAGTGAATTTCTCTGAGTGACCGGTGCAGATATATGGTCTATAAGGTCCTCCAAAGTCCAGCGATTTACTGGGCCCAGAGGAAAAGGCCCGAGATGTTTGGCAGAGTGCGAAAGACAGCCGTGAATTATGGGTAAAGGCACGGACGACATCATGTGTGGAAGAACGCTGGTAAAGTCTGTGTCTGATCGGCTTCAGAACTCTTATATTTCAAACTCTGGGTTTTAATGTTTTATTGCATTGACATTTTACACTAAATCAACTTTTCGGAGCAGTTCTTCACAGCGTAACGTTTTATCATCAAAAACAAACTCGTCGACCAAAAAAATGTCCTTCTCAGTGATTTAAAATGCCTTGAATTCCAGATTTTGTTATTCCTTTTAGAGTAAATATTTTTTCATGATTCATATTTATATTATCTTCCAATAATAGCAAACTAAAAGCACATTTTGGAGTACATGTCTGACCATAGTGTACTGAAAGAGTCACTATTTCACTATTTGACGCTTTGAGCTGAGAGCTGATTGGCCGAGGAAGGCTGCGGTCCTATTTTTTTTCCTTTTCTGTCTAAAAAGCTGATCTAGAGATGTGATGAAGGTCAAAAATGCACGCAAAACTAGTGATAGAACAAAACTTCTGTGAGAGTCTGGGACTATAGGCAAGGCTGAGCAAGTTTATTTGTATAGCACATTTCATACACAGGACAACTCAAGTGTTTGACAAACCAAGAGAAGGAAACGTTTGGATTCCATACAAAGATAAAACAACTAAGATATGATAAAATGCTCTGAAAAGGAGTTCGAGGGATATTGACGAAACAGCTAGCACAGTTACTTGTCCCTTCAAGGAAATGTAAGACAATTCATGAAAGTGTAACACATTTTCATTTTGGCTGGAAATGGCGAGACGCATTTGGAAACGCTGTTGTTTATGCATGTTTATCCATTTGTTTTTTTACCTCTTTCCATTATGAAACAATTACAACTTTGTATTACATTTAAATCACACTTCTGCCACACTTTATGCTGTGTGTGGAGGGATTGGAACAATATAAGAACTCTGACATTGTAAAGCGCTTTGGGTGACCTTGGTCTGTAAAATTGCGATGCGTAAATAAACATTACATACTTACTTACTTCTATAGGCTAAAATAGGTTCTAGAAGTCTTATTTCCCACGTTTCTCCATTTTATTGATCATTTGTCTCTGAGTTCTCTCTCCTCTCCTGCTTTCAGAACTCCATTCCAGCAGCTGTTTGCATGGATTTGATGGATATGCTAGTTTTATTACATTTAGATGAATGAATATACGTCTTTAACTGGCTGAAAAGTACATTGTGAGGTGACCTAATGAGCGGACTAGGCAGGCAGCACATGATTTAGGGCGCAAACAAACGGCACAGTAATTGAAGAAGTGTAAAAACATTCCGGTCGGGGCAGGGGGATCCGGAGAAGTCTGTCAGGAACGCTGCCATATCCACACTGGATACGTCAGCACTCATTATACGCGGAAATACTTCATCACTGCGCAGTCGTATTACGTGACTTATCCTCTCTCAGCGTTGCTCCCTCGCCAGAAACAGACCTGGAGTCGTTGCGTCATCCACATATATATATCCACAAATATCAAAAATGGTCAAATGTTTGTCCATTGTCTGTTTCATGGAGTGATGATGGGACCCCTGAACCCGGCCTCCTACATCGGCACCTGTGGCCTGTCCTCCCCGGCCTGACTCGTGGGCTGCACCCCGTTCCCGCTTGGGAGCTGCCTCAGTCCAACACCACATGGCCTCGGACCTCGTTCTGCAGCCTGAGGTTTTTCACTTGGCGATTGGAACCCGGCTGATGATGGAAGCTGAGGCGACACCATGACAAGTCTCTACTGTAGCGGCGGTGACGTGGAGGAGGTGGGTTGCTGAACGGACAGCAGCTTGAAGCAAAAAGCCGTGAAGTCATGCTGATGGTGCAGGTGTGTAGCAGAGGGAGGCTTGTGTCCCAGTCTTCCAGTCTGAATTTCTGCTTTAGCTGCATTTTCAGTTATACCAAGGTCTCCATAGTTTTCAGTGTAAAAACTCTCTCTGTAACCTGTTTCTAATAATGTATTTACTGTATTTATTTTATGTTTTTCACAATATGTAGGTATTTTTATCAAATTATTATTTATTTTTTTTTACTTGAATTTTAGATACAGTATTTCTGAACAAAATTATTAATTGGTGCTTTGGACTGAACAACAACTGGATCATATTTTATCAATTACTGGATCATATAAGCTTATTGTTATTGGTCATTCTGTTCTGTTGGATTCCGCGAACAGGATAGTATGAATGATTGGGCTATTCTTGAGGACATAGGCTTTAAAATTATCAACTACCCCCTATATCCCACACGTACCCCAGGGATCTGTGTAGCCCTGCTTAGAAAAAACTCCTCTATGGTACTATTGGAGTAGCTGTAGCAAATGTGGCTAAAGTTTTATTTCCATAACTGAAAAGGTTTGTTTTATATGTTAGTGCTAAGTGTGTCTGTGCCTGCGATGGAGGTTCCTGGGTGGATATTCCCCAAGCTGGCTCAAGTTTCCAGCAGGAATGGCGTGTGCCCAGTCGTCATGGCGACACATCAATGCTGAGTGTCCTTAATGGGTATAATGTGGAGTTTTCATTAACAAGTCACTTTGTTGTTTTTAGGTGGAAAAGCCAAGAGTGTGAGCTGCAACAAGAGCACGGCTGCATTTGTTTTCTTTGTGTCAAATTAATGATTAAAGAGAGCGTTTCAAATGTATGAGTTGGAACTGGACTGGACTTATGGGATCAAATATTCTTGTATTTCATAAGAGAAAATGTGATTAAATTTGACTCCCGATGGACTGATCACTCTCTCACAGTGTACAGTCTCAAAACAGCAACTGTGTCCAGCCCATAACCTGTAGATGGACAATGCTAACCCTCGAGCTTATAAACCCAATAGCTTTCAAAACACAATATCCCAAAAGGAAAGTGCTCATGGACAAAGTTGTGCTCCAACTCACTCTGACTCCTACAGGAGTTTAGTGCCAGATATGATCCTTAACCCTTATTTTGAAGAAAGCGATGTACATTTTTCTTGTTTTGATTTTCTGAGATGTAGGAGGCCTTTACCAAATGGTTGAAATGTAGTTTGATGGTAAATGTGCCTCAAACCAAGTGATCGTTTTTTTCATTCGGTAAAACTGGTCCACTATTACATTTTATTTATAATTAACTGTATGTACATGCATATAATGTATGAATGAGACATTGGGAGAATAAAGCTGAGGCAAATTGGTTTTGCGGGTGTACGCACTGCTGCATGTGGTGATATATATATAACAAAAATGAATATGCATTTATTATTTGTAGTATTTTTATGATTATTAGTATTTGTTTTAACATTCTGTTTTAATTGTTTGGTTTTTTTACTTTTTATTTTATGCATTCCTTTCTTTGCATTATAAATGGTGCCTTGTGAGGTTGTTTTGTTTTTTATGACATTCTACTTGAATTGTAAAGGCAAAAACTCAAAAATAAAGTATAAAAAAATAAAAATAACAAGTGATCGGCAGATATACCGACTCCAAAAGTTTTTCATCTAATGGTCAAGAAAACCATTAAAGGGTTAAGGATTAATAAGATTCCTTCAATCGTGGGAAAAGTCTAGCAAAGGTGCACGGGCGGCACGGTGGCTGAGTGGATAGCACTCTCGCCTCTCAGCAAGAAGGTCCTGGGTTTGAATCCCGGTCGGACCAGGGCCTTTCTGAGTGGAGTTTGCATGTTCTCCCCGTGTCTGCGTAGGTTTCCTCCGGGTACTCCGGTTTCCCCTACCACTAAAAATATGTACAATAGGTCTGGCATGCGCCTCCTGTTCGGCGACCCTGCTCCCATCTCTGTGGAGTGAGAGGACAAGTGCCCAAAAATAATAACAATTGTAAACCGCTTTGTGACTCTGGTCTGTGAAAGGCGGTATATAAATAAAGATTACTTACTTACTTACACTTTATTAATCCCCTTAGGGTAACTCATCCTCTGCATTTGATCAGGAGCAGTGGTCGCCGTATTATTTATGGTGCCCAGGAACCCATCTCCAGATGTTGATGCTTGGATTGGTCAGGACTAAAGCCTAGCGTACATCGACAGAGAAACTGGAGACAACTAGTTGCAAGGCGGCTTTTGGCGACTGAGAGGAGATGGTGGGAGATGATCAGTTGCCGAAATCGGTCGATGTGCGCGCTCTTACAACTGGAGATGATCAGTCGGTCTCCAGTTTCAGTCAGTTGCCCGTGTTCTACTTTTCAGCAACTAGTTGTCCTCAGTTTCGGAGATATCACCCGATGTGCGCGCTCCATGCGCCGCTCCGACAACGTGTGTGTATTGCGTGTATTGCGAGCCCGCAACAGTTTATGTCAGAAAACACACTGTAGTTGACGGCCAGTTGCTGTCGATGTACGCGCTGTTATTCCCGAGACTGGTCTGCTACTGGGAGTTGCCCGTTTTCGTCAGATTGTCGATGTGTGCGGGGCAGCAACTCATATGCGACGGATATAATCAGTTGCCAGTCCGATGTACGCTAGGCTTAAGAGCTGGAGGATTTAACCTAGTGTGCACGTTTTTAGTGGTAGGGGAAACCAGAGTACGCAGAGGAAACCTACGCAGGCATGGGGAGAACATGCAAACTCCTCTCAGAAAGACCCTGTTCCGACCGGGATTCGAACCCAGGACCTTCTTGCTGAGAGGCGAGAGTCCTATCCACTTAGCCACAGTGCCACCCATAGCAACCATGTTAGCAACACGTCTGAAACCGGCTCAGCTATGTTTAAATCAGCTTTTTCCGCACTTGGCAAACACTATGTGACCTCAGCACACGGTCAGTCCACTCCTAATGCACTGATCACTGTATACTGTATACTATAGTTCAGCCTCTGCTTGTTAGCTTGTTAGCCTAATAGC